AACTTTGGCCAGTGAGGAAACTGATTTACTATCGACGATGTCGTCTCTGCAGGATGCACCATCATCTTTGTGACGGCGTTCCCGGTTGTCCAGATCACGCTGGGTAAGTTAGCGTTCCGTTTCTGGATTTCACAGAAACCAGAAGGTCTTGTTTGAAGTGCTTTCTGCCTCCAGAGAGCCGCGTGGTGGGAGACACAAAACCAAACTGGTATTCGTAGGACTGGTTTGAGTCCTTCACTCCTCTCATGTTTTCTACTCCGTCATCCAACCGTCTGAGTTCTTGACTCGCTCGTGTCCGCTCTGCCTTCGTGGAACGATGAAGGACTGGTGGTGAAAGTCTTGAAGCTAATAGTTGTGTCCACATAAACAGGAGCGGTTTACCTGTATGAGTGTCCAGTAGCACCAGTCCTCCCAGTGTATGTGATGGTGTTTGGAACCAGTGCTCTGCTGATGACGGCCATGTTGGCGATGCCGAGGCTCCTCTGTCCAAAAGCACCACGCCCCACCTTCTGGACCCTGCTGCTCGTCACGCTGCTCCTCTTGTTCTTCATCTGGTTCCTCGTTGGTCAGTCAGCGCTGAGAACACCTGTTAGCAGAAAGAACCCACCTGTCACCTGATGCCCACAGCTCTTAGATCTTTGTTTCATCAGCCTGGTTTTCCCTTCTTGATCGTTTACTCTCTCTGTTCTCAGGCAGCTACCAGATTTATTCCATATATCCACCCAACTACCACAAGAACAACATCACCGATTCCAACAGCTCCATCAGCGGGATCCACTCTTCTTCGGACACCAAACTCAACCTTGCCTCGAAGAGCCCGAGGCTTCTGAGGCTGAACCAAACCCAGACCAGCGGCTGGACTTCAGCGCTCAGCAGCACGAGCCCCAGCGGCGAGCTGTCAGACCTCCAGCACTGCAACAGAACTTTGTACCTGTTTGCTTTCTGGACCAACACGCTCTTCTGTGTGATGGCAGGAGCCGCCGCGCTGGTGATGAGCTGCTTGTACTGTTTCATGAAATGCACGGATGTCTTCGTGCAGCATCTCTCCACCTGAATCTACGTTTAAAAGACAAACAGCATAATAGAGCTGCAGCGTGGCAACACCTCCAGTAACAGAACACGACCGCGACGACCAGAACAACTTTAATCCGCCTTGAAAGATTTTTGACTCACATTAAATATAAAAAGATGTTTTAAGCTGCACTGAGTGACTCAGTTAAGCTGTAGAGGGAAACTTTTGAATTTTTTTGACTCTAAATAGAGAAGTAGGAACAGCGCTGTCTGAAAGTGTTTGTGCTGCAGCTTCGAGCGAAGCAAAGAGAACCAACAAGATGTGTCTTTCTTACTTTTATATGCAGCTGCATCCGTTGTTTGGTATTTGGGAGATATTTAATGAGTAAAATGAACACGTTTTCCACTAAAATGTAATTAAAGACCTTCTTTTAATAAAAGACTAATTGATTTATGAGCTAGAGTAAACACAATCACCTGTTTTCAGAAAAGTTAGGAGCCTTTTTCAAATTCAAACCAAACAGATAAGTAAATTACCGTTTGGGAGTATTTCCACAAAGTTTAAAAGATGAGTTCAGAGGAAATTTTACTAAATCAACTCAGTGTCTAAAATCTTGTTGCTGGTTTGGCCAAGGCTTTCTGTGTGGAGTCTGCGTGTTTCCTCCATGAACATCAGAGAGACCTTTGGTGTGTGAGAGTGAATGGATGATTGCTTGTCTTGTTTGTTGGCCTGTATGAAATTTTATTTTATTTTATTTTGAGTTTCCGTGCTCTTCTTAAAACACGCCACCATTTGGTGGCGGTAGAGAACCGTAACGTTCAAATAACGGCAAACAGTAAAAACCATAGAAGAATACTAGGGATGTGCCTTTTTCTTTGTTTGAGTTGGAACGCTCATTAGCTACAACAGGTGTGACTAGTCCAGGAAAAGATCAAATTTGCCATATAATGTTAAAATATTTAGGGAAACAAATGAAATTAAAATTATTGGAGATTTATAATGTGATATGGAAAACAGGAAAATTGCCAAAAAATTGGAAAGAAGCAGTTATCGTACCAATAATTAAAGTAGGAAAAGAATCCAGTAGTCCAGATAGTTATAGACCCGTTGCATCAGCATCTCATATAGGTAAAATAATGGAAAGGATGGCAGTGGATAGATTAACAGATTATTTAGAGAGAAATAAAAAGATATCACTGTATCAAAGTGGTTTTAGGAAAGAGAGAGGCACGATGGATGCAATTGTTTATTTAGAAACAGAAATTAGGAAAGCTTTAATTAATAAAGAGAGTTTAGTGGTAGTCTTTTTTGATGTAGAAAAAGCCTCTGACATGGTGTGGACAGAGGGATTGTTACTAAAACTTAAAAAATTAGGAGTAGGAGGAAGAATGTATAACTGGATTAAAGATGTTTGGAGTGAGCGAAATATTCAAGTAGAAATAGGAAGTACACTTTCTAGGGGGTGTAAAGTAGAAAATGGCACTCCTCAAGGAAGTGTCATTAGTCCGATATTATTTACTATTATGACAGATGATGTGTTTCAGAATGTGGGGACTGAGTTTGGTATGGCATTATTTACAGATGATGGAGCAAAATGGAAGAAAGGGAAAAATATCCAATATGTGCAAAAGAAAGTTCAGGAAGCAATTAAAATGGTGGAAAACTGGTCGTATGACTGGGGTTTCAAGTTTTCAGTGGAAAAAACTAAAAGTATGGTGTTTACAAAGGGCAAGAAAGTAATGGAGAATTTAACATTGTATGGAAAAGAGTTGGAGCAAGTGGATAAGTTTAAATATTTAGGAGTAATATTTGATAAAAGGTTAATATGGAAGGATAATATAAATAAAATTGAGGAAAGATGCAAAAAAGTAATAAATATAATGAGATGTGTGAGAGGATGTGAGTGGGGGGCTAGTGCTCAGGCGTTAAAATACATGTACGGTGCAATGATACGATCAGTGATAGATTATGGGAGTGTAGTTTAAGTTCAGCATCTAAAACATTAATGAAACGGATTTAACTCATACAAAGTCAAGCATTAAGAGTGTGTTGTGGAGCACTAAAAACTACCCCTGTTGTGGCACTACAGGTAGAAATGGGTGAGTTACCAATACAGCTTAGGATAAAACAGATAGCTTTAAATTATTGGGCAAGTATACGAGGGTGTGAGGACGACGACCACATGGCAAAAAGGTCACTGAGTCCGTGCTGGGAAAAGGAGAAAATGAAGAAGGAATATGGTAGCTGGAAAGTGCAAGATTGGGCAAAAGAGAGTAAGATCCAAGATGAAGTACAAATTAAAAAGTTTTTATATACAGTTAATCCAAAATGGATATTTCCAGAAGTGTGTGTTGATTATAGTATTTATGATAAGATAAGAAGCAGTGGGGGAAAAGGAAATTGGGATAAAATTACAGAAGATGGCTAAAGTTAAACAGCTGCGAGTCTTTTGTGCATGTATTTACAGATGGATCAAAGGACCTGGTAGGGGGGAAACCGGGTTTGCATTTGTGATACCACATATAGGAGTAGTAGTTAGGGAAAGAACTCCAGATCATTTATCTGAGTACACAGTGGAGATGATAGCTATATTATTTAGTCTTCAATGGATGGAACAAAATAGAAGTAAAAAAGGAATTATATGTACTGATTCGTTGTCTGTATTAGTGTCAGTTGAATTAATGTCTACCAAGAGTCGAATAGATGTATTATATGAGATATATGAGACCATATTTAGATTAGGGAATTTGGGTACGGAAGTTAAATTTTTATGGGTACCGGCACACAGAGTAGAAGGAAATGAAATGGCAGATTATTTTGCAAAAAAGGCAATAAGAGAGAGGAAAATAATAAATATTGCGTATAGTGCCGCTGAAATTAAATCTATCATTAAAGCACATATAATGGAAGAGTGGCAAAGAATGTGGGAGAGGGGAGAGAAAGGAAGTCATTTATTTCAGATACAAGGGAAGGTAGGAAAATGGAAAAATATAAGGATGAATAGTAGAGATCAAAGAATAATATCAAGATTAAGACTGGGACATACTGGGCTTAATAATACGATGCATCTGATGGGGAAACATCCCACAGGTGTGTGTGGATGTGGGGTGGGGGGAGAAACGGTGGAACATATTTTATGTAACTGCATAAAATATGAGGAAGGTAGAGGACAACTCAGGGAGGAATTAAAAAACATAGGAGGTGGAGTGGTAAACGTAAAGAATTTGTTAAATGGTGAAGAAAGAACATATAGGTTGGTTATTGATAGCGGTTTGTTACTCCGACTCACACTCCAGCACAGTAGGTGGCGGAAATGCACCTAGAAGTTAGCTGCCACCCGCCAATAAACACGAAGAAGAAGAAGACTCGAGCGGCTGGCGCGAACCTATCAACGTTTTTGTTCATCATGCAGACGTCTCCGTCTGTCTCTACGCTAAATATTTCGTTACTTTAGCAACCGTGTTATATTTGTCAACTTAAATCTGAACCTCGTGTAGCCTTTGGGCATGTTTTAAAGACGTATTTTAGACAATAGTTCGCTTTAGGTGCTTTATTTAACTGCTGCTAGCTTAAAAACTTAAGATGCCTTTGCTAAAGCTAAACGGAGTAACGGTGGATTTTCCTTTTACTCCTTATGACTGTCAGAAAGACTACATGACAAAGGTCCTTGAATGTCTTAAGCAGGTGAGTACGGATTAAAATATCAATGCTTAAACTTAGAAACTAGTCAGAACGCTAACTAGCTTGTCGTCATGTTATCTGCATCAGATCAGTTCATAAACAGGTTTGAACAGTTGGATGAGTCGGGGACATCTTATAGAGATGGTTGTTGTTTGTTGAGTTTTAGCAAATTATCTTTGGATCATGAACTTTTCACACTGCATTAACAAATAAAAGGATACAAACAACAGCGATACAGGACGAGATGTCCACGGATTTACAGGCTAAGATTGTACGATACTTGGAAAAAAAATAAGGATACTAAAACAAAATATTTGCTGCTAAAATAACATGGAGCCTGGATTTTTTTACTTCCTATGAAAGTCATGTTTAGTTTCTTTAAAGTTTCTGTCTAATCTAATTTTATTTCACTGCTCTGGAATTTTATGATCTTCTGTCATTTTCTGTTGGTAATCATAAGAACCACTGGAGTCGTTGGCTTTGTGACTTATTGAGGTGAATTAGATCATATTTTCCTTCATGTTTTGTACTTATTAAGTTTCTGGTGCTGCGGAGTTTAGAAGATCCAAGAGCAGAGTGACAAGATGGTTCAGATTATTTTCTGATTATCAGTAGGGATGTAAGAAAATATTTATATGGCAATATATCGTGATATTTTTCCCGGCAATATTATATTGATATTCAAAAGCTGTGTATCGGAAATATCGATATGGCAATATATCATGATATTTTTTCCTGCAATTATTACATCGATATTCAAAAGCCGTGTATCTAATTCCTTAAAGAATTTACATGCAAACATTTGTGTATTTTCTTTTCGTTTTGCGCAATTCAATCGCCACCCGCTAGTTGGCAGCAGTGTGCAGCGGGTTTTGTTTCCACCACTGAAATGTAAATCCCTCCATCATGGTTCAGATACCTCATGTTAAACATGTTACATATCAGTTTGGACTGTTTATTGAACATTCTTACAATAAATTCAGTAAAAAAATTGCTTGTAACGTCTGACTGAATGTATCGCAATATATCGTGATTATGTATCGTATCGCCAGAATTTCAAAAATACACATCCCTAATTATCAGAAACATTTCTGCTTTTATTCCCTGGAAAATGTTATGTAAAGAAGATCTCGCCTGAAGTCATCACATCTGTGTTCCTGTTGGTTCCAGAGTCATAATGGTGTTCTGGAGAGTCCAACGGGAACCGGTAAAACTCTGTGTCTGTTGTGTGCCACGCTGGCCTGGAGGGAACACTTCAAGGACTCCATCTCTGCTCGCAAGATCTCAGAGAAGCTGAAGGGAGCGGAGATGTTCCCGAACACACCCTTCTCCTCCTGGGGGACTGCTGCTACTGACGGGGACAAACCAGGTGAGCTGTTCGATTCAGCAGAATCACCTGAACTAGCTGTCGTGATTCACAGGTTGAACTAATTACTTTATGAAGTCTACTTTTGTAATTCCTGTTTGTTTCTATCATTCCACAGTGTACTACACCGATATTCCCAAGATCATTTATGCCTCCAGGACGCACTCTCAGCTCGCACAGGTCATCAGTGAGCTGAAGAACACTACATACAGGTAAAAACTCTAGATTATAGTCCTTGGTTTTGCTCTTCTTAACCCGCCTCCCTGCTGCTGGTGGTGGTCGGAGGGACCGGTGGCACCTGTCAGTGTGCCCCAGGGCAGCTGTGGCTACATCGTAGTTTATCCCACCAGTGTGTGAATGTGTTGTGAAGCGCCTTGGGGGGTTGTAGAAAACGTTTAAAAATCACATTGAAGAGTGAACTCTGACGGGAGGAAAGTCATCAGCAGCTCAAGCCCGGTAGTAATCCATATGTGTGTGTCTCCGTTGTTGAATCAGACCAAAGGTGTGTGTTTTGGGATCCAGAGAGCAGCTTTGCATCAACCAGGAAGTCATGCGTCAGGAAAGCAACCACGTTAAGGTAGGTTCCACCTGGTTAATTCAGCTGGTTCAGCAAATCACTAGTCTGGATTAACAGTCATGTTGTCTCTACTCAGGGTATCCGCAGGTCCTTAAAAAGTCTTAAATTTACTTTTCCAAATTTAAGGCCTTGAAAATCCTTAAAAATGACAAATAATCCTTAAATACAGTTTCCAAAGGTCTTAAATTACCAAAGACCCAATAAACTAGATTAGTTTATTTCTATGACTTTTTCGTGAATTTCTAGTTAGTGTTCAGCATTTTTTGTGTACGATGTTGGCGTAAGCGGAACCGTACACATTCAGTTGGTTGTGAAAGGGGGCTGTTTTTAGATGAGCACATTAGCTGGTTAAGCTAGTGGAGCTTGCGCCATGGAGAAGTGCAAGTTCAATGGTAAATGGATGGCTAATCCCACGTTCGCGACATGGTTAGGACCGATTCCAGGCAATAGCTGGAAATTATAGCTTAAATTAAATAATTTTAAAAAAGCTTAAATTTGGTCAAATTGGCCTTAAAAAGGTCTTAAAAAGTCTTAAATTTGGGTCCCTCAAGCCTGCAGATACCCTGCTCTACTGTAGTTTCTATTGAATGCAACCCGACGGAAGAAGTCATTGGAGCACAGATGTGTTGTACTCGTTTATCAGAGATGTCGATAGGGATTGAGACTGTCGTAATCTGTCACGGTGAAGAGAGATTAAAGAGAGATGAACAAAACCTGCAGTTCTAAACTTCCTCTAATAGTTCTGAGCTTTAGCTTGAGACCAAATTCACGCAGCTTTCTCTTCAGGGTGGCTCCGCTCAACCTAAGCTGCGGGATGAGGAGCTCAGGTTGAAGTTCCAGTTCAGGCCTTTTAGATAAAGATCCTCCTGCCTGAGTGACCCGGTCCCAGATCAACTTTGGTATTTGTCTTTAGCAAAGCCGATTTAAAGTCAGGCACATCCTCGGGCAGCCCGGTGCACACATTTAAGATTTAACAGTTCGTTAAAGTCAGAGTTCAAGAACTGTTTCAGCTTCAGAGATTTTGTGCATCAACTGATGTTAGTGAAGTTTTAGCATGAGAATCAGGTGGTTTAGGTATCGGCCCATAAAAATCAGCAGTCGGTATCGGCAAAAGAATACGAACATTGGTTGGTCTCTAGTGGTCTCATTCCTGAGTCCATTTCACGTTTCATCCAAATGTTCCAGCTGAGTGTTAGATGTTTACAGATGATTGAATAAGTTCAGGATTACGTCACATGGATGGCGTTCCCAGCAGGCTCCACCATGTTTCCCCTAACAGGTGATGACTCTGGTCCTCTTAGGTCCACATGTGCAGGGACAAAGTCAGCACCAGGTCTTGTGGCTTCTACAACAACGTTGAAGGTAATCTGACACCTGGATGAGAAACGTGTGGATTACCTAGGAGACTTCATGGACTCTGAGTCCTTTGACTCCTTTCAGAAAGAAGCTCAGACCGAGAGTTGCTGAATTCCATTCTTGATGTGGAAGATTTGGTGAAGTTTGGCAACAAACAAAGGTACTGTGTTTATTTTAGTTGTTTCGTCTTCGTTCACGTTGAAACTAGTCGCTTCTCATCTGAGCTGATGTGTGCAGGGTCTGTCCGTACTTCCTGACCCGCTCCCTAAAGCAGCACGCCGATATTATCTTCATGCCCTACAACTACCTGCTTGATCCAAAGGTGAGCTGATCCCGAAAAGACTGGTTTTTCACTTCTTACACTCGTTTTTATTTGTCTGTTTGTTTATTTTTAGGGGTTGTAAACAATCTAAAGACTTGAAATGTGTCATAATGCTTTTAACCCAAAGCCATAATGCTATTTTTGTGGTTCCTTCTTCTGAAACTGAGTCTCACTGGGGGGGGGGGGGGTTGCACACGTTCCGCTGCTGTTTCTCACCAGCATCAGCAGAAGAAGAAGAAGAAAACATCATTTCTATAGCGCCTCTCAAGATAAAAATCATGACGCGCTCAGCTGAGTCTAGTTTCGTTGTCAGCGGACACGGTAGGGTCAGGGAGGGGGGCGGGGCATGACGCTTAGCCTGGCGGGCCGCCAGACTTATTGCGTGCTGGGGAAACCCTGCACTGTTATTTTAAACTCATCTTCTGACATTTTAGACCTTTTAAACTGTATTTTTAAACATTGTTCTTCCCTCACGTGGCTCAAAACCAGCCAGGCTGTGAAACGTAACAACGCCCCCATCAACATTAAGAGAAACACGACGTGTTGTTGACATTTTCCCCCAGATTCTCACAAAGGCCTGCTGGTCTGACCGGCTGCTGGTACCAAAGAGCCTAAACATCCCATTTGACTCCGATTTTCATTCGTCACGGTTCTGGTCCATCCCCTTCGTTTAGAAACATTTGAACCCAAATACGTTCCACCGATTGGATTAAAATGCGTTCTTGAATGATTTGTTGTCTGTTTTGTTCCACAGAGCCGCCGAGCGCACAACATCGAGCTGAACAAAGCTGTGGTCATCTTTGATGAAGCTCATAATGTGGTGAGATTACAGGTCCCTTCATCTGGTGGTGACAGCTTTTCCTAGCATGCTTTCACACCTCAGGATGAACTATCAGCATGTGTACTTTAGGGATGTGTTGATAGGAATATCATATCTGATATTAATCACAGGCACGATGTATGTTGCCCTACTGCCCGGACACGTGTATGAGCCATCGCACGTTGCTGCTTCTGTCAAAGACAGAAAGGAGACGATATTTTATAGATGAAAACTACGAGGCGCTTCACAAAAGCAAAAAAAGTAAATATTTTACAAATGATTAAAAATATGTTTAAAATGAGGAAAAAATAATGAATAATAATGTAAGGAAAGGGAAATCGGTGGATCCCGGGAAAGGGTGGTGACGGAGGAAGCCAGCCTGAACAGGTGAGTTTTCTGCTGCACACTCCCCCACAGAACCACTCTATCGCCAGCATGTCACATGACCAACCGAATAACACGTAGCCAACCCTGTCCTGAAACACCCGTAAACAGTCACATGATCGAAATAAACATCAGTTGTTAATATCGGCCCAGTTTGACTTAGCGGACCAAATCGACACGTTACAAATGTTCACCGTCAGACGGACGATCAGGGTTTTGTTTTGTTTTTGAACGCCGATCAAAGCAGCTGGACAGCGTTTCTAACCGCTGGCGTCTTCGAGGCAGCCAGAAACGAGGACTGGTCACGAAGGAGACGAAGCCTGAAGAACAACGAAACCCGGGTCATCGACTGGTCAGGACTGAAAACGGCAACCGGTTCTCCACAACAAATACAACCACACAGGAACCACATTCATTCATTCATTCATTCATTCATTCATTCCAGCTAGCCAGGAGCAACTCAGTAGCTACTGATGTTTGTGAGCCCTGCTGCTTCCCAGAATGCAAACCTTCTACAGAAGCGTACGGTTGGTCGTTGTGTCGGATCACGTTCACTCTGAACGAACAGAGACGTCCTCCTGCAGCTCCACGGTTCAGTGAGCTTTCATACCCGTCCAAACAAGGGAGATCACCCGAGGAGAACTAAGTGGTCCTTTTAAAGAGCTTCTGCATGGAAGCTGGGAGCTTTCAAGTGTTGTTGCTGTTAAACACACCAGCTGGACTCGAGGTGCGAACCGTAAACATAAAAATCCATACCATAGTTTGTTTATGTAGCACGTTTCAAACGCAGCAATGGAGCTGCCCAAAGTGCTGCACAGGCTCAACCCAAACACGACCAATCTAAGCAACTAAAACAGAAGATAAAAATACCGATCAAAAGCAGATAATAGGCTAACGAAACAAGCTGCTGTCTAAAAGCCACATCCTAAAAGTGGGTCTTTAAACGAGATTTAAAAACCGCCAATGATGGAGCCTGCCGAACTTTAATGGGTAACGAGTTCCACAGCTTTGGGGCAGCATGCACAAATGCTCGTTCACCCCGCGATTTGTATCGCATCCGGGGCGTGCACAGCAGCAGGTCAGCCGACCTCGGTGTGCGTGTGGCTACATAGGGAGGTGCCAGGTCGTTGAGTGCTTTAAATACAAAAGTCGATAACTTAAACTGTACCCTGAAAACGACAGGGAGCCAGTGAAGATGTGGCAGGACAGGGGTAATATAGAAACGTCGGTGTGTACTCGTCAAGAACCTGGCAGCAGCGTTCTGGACGACCTGCAGCCGATTCAGGGCAGAGACCGGAACCCCGACTAGGAGGGCGTTTGCGTAGTCCAGGCGAGAGGTAATGAAGGCATGGATGACTGACTCCAAATGCCTCCGTTTCAAGATTTGTCTGATGCGAGTCAGGCGGCGAAGTTCAGCATCCAGCTTTACACCGAGACTTGTCACGCACTGTTTGGGTTTGAAGGTTAAAAGGTCACAAACAGGGTGAGAGCCATGGTGGTTGCGGGGGTCAAAGACAATAGACTCAGTCTTCCTTTCATTTAACTTTAGGTAGTCGGATGCCAGCCAGCCCTTCACGTCGTCTAAACATGCAGCCAATTGCGAGCCCGCATTCTCCTCATCCATTGCTACATATAGTTGACGGTCATCAGCGTAAATGTGATGGTTCAGGCCGTGCTGATTCAGGATTTTGCCCAGAGGCAGAAGGTAGATAGAAAACAGCAACTGCCCCAGAACGGAGCGTTTGAATTAAATTGTATCTGGAGCTTCAGTTTCTGAGAGGAAGCGGTTTTCCTGGCAGCCTGGACATCTACAGATTATAAATATTTGTGTCATCTCCAGGAGAGGATGTGTGAAGAATCGACGTCCTTCGACCTTACTCCCTACGACGTGGCTTCGGCCATCACGGCGGTGGACAGGCTGCTGGAGGAGAAGGCTAAAGAAGTCAGTCGTGGAGACCCCGTTACGGAAGACATCAACGTAGAGTCCCTCAGCTCCGGTCAGATCGTCCGTTCAAACGTTCCTTCGACCAGTTCAAGAGAATCGTTCAGAAATCTTGTTTATTCTAATCTTGTTTCCATATTTATCTCTTCTCAGGTTCCAAATTAGAAGTCCCTACCATCGCTAAAGTCAAGCGTAAGTTTATGATGACCTACATTTAGCAGTGATGGAGTTAACTTTACGGTTTTGTCTAAATTAACAGAGATACTGTTGGATCTGGAAGCTGCTATCGATTCCATTGATGTTCCAAGTGAAAAGGGCATCACGAAACCTGGAATGTAGGTTTCCCTCTACTTCTCCTTTTCTCAAGGGTTTTTTCTTCCTCCAGTTCTTGTTTTTTCCAACACATTCTCACACCCAAGGCGTCAAAATATGACGCGTGTGACCAAGCCTCAATATATGACGATTTGGGACGCCCCAGGGTGTCGGGTGGCGACGATCAGGGACAAACTGCTGACGCAGCGTTCCAGAACGTCGGTGTCCAACGCCGGTGCTGAGACGGACATTAGAACTATTTAACCTTCCCCTCACCCTAGTCCTAACCTTAAGATCACAGTTTATGGACCGTAAGGTTAGGATTGGGGTGAGGGCCACGTTTAATATTCGAATAATGTCCGTGTGACCACGCGCGTCAAACAGTGACGCCAGCGGAGCCACGTGTCCCAGCGTGTCCCTGATTGTCGTCTCCTGATGCGCTGGGGCGTCCTGAATCGTCATATATTGAGGCTTGGTCACACGCGTCATATTTTGACGCCGTGGGTGTGAGAATGTTGTTTTTTCACATTCTTCTTATCTCAAGTTCATTTTCTCAAGTTTTTTTAGGTGAATTTATCTATATCTACCTTACAGCCACACTCTCTCTCCATCTCCTAAAGTGGTCTGCATCGGGCTTTCTGGATGTCTTACAGAGGTTTTATTTGGGGGTTGTGACTTTTTTTTTTTTTTTTTTTTTCAGTAGGAGCAGATTTTTTATCACATTTTTACATCCTCTGGGCGATTGAAGTGATTTCCAGAGCCATCCGTTATTGTGTGTCTTTCAGCTTCATCTATGAACTGTTGGAGAAAGCCCACCTGACCTACAGCACCAAGACGGCTGTCTATGAGGCTCTGGAGCAGATCATTGGAAGCTTGACCGGCAGTCCGTATGACTTTATGTCTTTGCTATAAATAACCCGGTCTTCTTAATTCCAAATTATTTACGATGCTTGATTCTGGCCAGAACCCGGAGCATTCCTCAATTCAAATGGACTGCAGAAGCTGGCTGACATTATTCAGGTACGCAAACCGCTGAGGTTGAGACAAAAAACAGTTTAGGAAAAGTTGTGTTTATTTAGACTTTCAGATGAACATGTAAATGTAATCCTCTTTGGTTAGTGAAAAAAAAGTAAATCACAAAAATTGAAACACTATTGAGCTGCAGTCGAGTTCCCGGACAAGCCCCCGATTGTTAGAACCTGGCCCAGGTGACGTCTTGAAAGGAAGACACACTTAGTAAAAGTTAATGAAAACGTTTCATTAAAATTAAATTTCCTTAAATTGTTTTATGACAACAAATGTTTAAACTAACTTCAGTCAAAAACAAACCAAAAAGCAACAAGTTTGTCACAAACCGGCTTGTTGGACCACAAAACAGAATGTTAAGATTGGTAAATGGTCTGTAGTTGTATATCGCCTTCCTAGGGTTCTACAACCCCCCAAGGCGCTTCACAACACAATCAGTCATTCACACACTGGTGGTGATGAGCTACCATGTAGCCACAGCTGCCCTGGGGCACACTGACAGAGGCGAGGCTGCTGAACACAAGTGACACCGGTCCCTCCGACCACCACCAGCAAAAAAGGCGGATTAAGTGTCTTGCCCAAGGACACAACAGCAACATTCTCTGGTTGAAGCCGGAATTGCACCTGCAACTTTCCGATTACTGGACATCCCGCTCAACCTCCTGAGCTGCTGCTGTCCCTGAATATAGAGTCATGAGAGTCTTTTTACATGAAAGATCCATGTTGTAAATAAAAACGATCCAAAACCAGTAAGAAAACGGAGCAGCCCGTTGATGATGTAACAGAAATCCCAGATGAGCCCCCAGTCGTCGTAATGCGGCTCAAGTGGACCTAACAAAAGACACACATAGTAAAGAGTTAAGAGTTGAGTAAAACGGAATCTTTATCATGGAAAATGGCGGGAGAAATTATAAGCTATATAAATGAGCGTCTGATCGTGCTGCAGACACGTGTACTCAGTCATTTTGCACTTTAGTGCATCTTAGTTAAAATTCAAATATTCTGCTTAAAACTGTCAGTGTTGCGCCATCTTTGGGTAAAAACTGCACTGCATTTGAATTTAAACCTGCTATCACTTTTGGCTAAGAGGTACACTATGATGTCAGCTGGTACATTATGATGTCACAATGTCGTTGTGAGCCTGTGTGTGTATTTATTAGCGGCTCCGCCCTCTTGGTCTGCCAGGCAACAGCATTTGATGCATTTTTACAAACAGGAAGTGGGAGTGGAGTAAGACTGGTTGGGGGTGACTTGCTCTTTAAGGAACGATAGAACTTAATTTTAATACGCTATTATAGGTAAACGTCTGTTTCAGTGCTTAACTTCCTGTTTGTAGTACAGCAGCGGTGACTCTGCTCTGGTCTTCTAGCTGGTGTTTAGTGGTGAACCATCAGAGCTGGACAGACAAAGGAAGATGGAGTCCTACTCTGCTTACTTTAAGGTTTGTTCAGTTACCACACCTGTTTCATTCACACACACACACTTGTTTCATTCACACACACCTGTTTTTATTCACACACACACCTGTTTTCATTCACACACACAAACACACCTGGTTTTTATACACACACACACCTGGTTTTTATACACACACACACACACCTGGTTTTTATATACACACACCTGGTTTTTATACACACACACACCTGTTTCATTCACACACACACACACCTGTTTCATTCACACACGCACCTGGTTTTTATACACACACACACCTGTTTCATTCACACACACACACCTGGGTTTTATACACACACACACACCTGTTTTCATTCTCACACACACACACACACACACACACACACACACACATACATGGATGCGCACACACACGGATGCACGCACATACACACACACACACACACACACACACCTGTTTCATTCACACACACACACACTTGTTTCATTCACACACACCTGTTTTTATTCACACACACACCTGTTTTCATTCACACACACACACACAAACACACCTGGTTTTTATACACACACACACACCTGGTTTTTATACACACACACACACACCTGGTTTTTATACACACACACACACACACACCTGGTTTTTATACACACACACACACACACACCTGGTTTTTATATATACACACACACACACACCTGGTTTTTATACACACACACACACACCTGATTTTTATACACACACACACACACCTGATTTTTATACACACACACACACACACACACCTGGTTTTTATACACACACACACCTATTTTTATTCTACTAATCCAGGTTTTCTGGGTGAGTGGTGTGCAGAACATTCCTCCTTAGTTCTAGTTTCACACACCAAAGCTGGAAATGAACGACTCCGTATTTATATTTAATTATAATATTCCTCGGTGCATGTTTGGGTCATGATCGTAGCAACGTGCTGCTTTAGTCTCCTACAGGTTTGACCCATTAGTGAATAAAACACCTAAAACCTGATTTTTGTCCTCATGTATGTCGATGGCCACTATGCTACGCTAACGTTAGCCGTTATGGTCCATCTGACTTAGGTTCACATCCATCGGGACACCAGCGCTGCCAAGAAGAAACAAGCGGCTGATCCGTGGGCTTCAGCTTCATCCAAGAAACAAGGTCAGTCAGTTCACAACATTCAGAACTTTAACTTCAGTAACCAGATTCCATGTGGAACTCCTAGTGACCTGGAATAACATTTTGTGGCTGAGCTTTCCAAGAGAGAGAACAGTTTCTCTTTATTCTATCTTGTTAGTCAGCGTTTGCGTCTGTGAAGCAGCTTTGAACGCGTGTTTTTGTGTCGTGTGCGCCGTAGGAAACATCCTGAGTTACTGGTGCTTCTCACCGGGCTTCAGCATGCAGGAGCTGGTGAACCAGGGCGTTCGCTGCATCATTCTCACCAGCGGGACCCTCTCACCTCTGACCACCTTCACCTCTGAGATGAGGATGTGAGTTCACCACCAAAACAAACGAGTCCGATGTCTGATCAGATAAAGCAGATAAAGTGTGTTTCCAGAGGGGGGAATCCTGCTGCGACATTTATTTAATTATTCAGGTTCGTGGTCGGCCGATATCGTTTTTCCTATTGCCAGTACCGATGCCGATACTTCGAGGTCGCTGTCAGCTGATGACCGATGTGTGCTGCTGATTATTTATTTATTTATTGCTGATTTTCATGGCTGATATTTAGGCGTTTGCACCTACTTTCATGCTAAAATGTCCCTAAAACTTCAGTTGATGCACAACATTTCTGCAGCTGAAGCAGCTTTTAAACGCTGAATTTAACCAAGTGGTAATTCTTAGTTTTGTGCACCGCTCACTGTTAAAATCAGATTTCTGACTAAAGTTATCCGTGTTAAATATTCAAAACTGGAAGGAAGAGAGATTTTAGAGCACTTGTTATGCCCCTGATTCAGATTTATTACTAAACAATCACGCGAGGTTTAAATCGGTCTTACTAGACTCGTTTCTCTTCAGTGTTTCAGTTTTACGTTCTAGTTTGTTTAGGAGCGTTGAATAAAACCACGTTTCTTTTTCCTTGTTTCACTTTAGAGATTTCCCGGTGCTTCTTGAAAACGGTCATGTGATCAGCCGGGACCAGATCTATGTCCGAGTCCTGGATCAGGGTCCAGATTCGGTGGTGCTGAGCTCGGCGTTTAATCGGAGGTAAACGAGGACCAGCTGTAAGATCAGCGTCTTTTATCGCTGGTCAGCAGAAGAAGGTGTTGAATTCAACATTTTGTTGTTTTAACGAGTAAAGCTTCGGACCTAAAAACAACCTTTGTCTTCTTTAAACAAGTAAACAAAAGAACAGAACACATCATTTGTACAGATATGGAGTAATAACTGTTTTTCTCACATGAAGCTTTGCTAGTAGGTGTTTTTGCTGTGCTGCTTTAATATTTCTCCGTTTCAGGTTTATTCCTGAAGTCATGGCGTCTTTAGGCAACACTGTTGGTGAGTTGTGCTGTTATTACCGTGTTATAAATCAGTCAGCTGGTAGGGTTCGGGTCTTTCTGGGACGTTCTAGTTTCATGAACCTGATGCAGGTTTATTCGTCTCTTCCCTGTAGTTCTCAGCGGTTTGGGTTTCAGATGAATGTCTTTATCTGAGTCTTGTTGAAGTCACCAAATCTCCGACTCGTAGTCGTGTGAAACCGCTGTTGCCCCGTAAGCTAGCGGCCGCTTGGCCGATCCAACGAGGGCCGACGGATCACCGGGTTATGACTTAGTAGCACCGTATGGGTTTTGTTCCTACCAGAGCGGTAAACTTCAGCACGAGCTGTAAAATGGACAGTTACGTTTGGGAATGCTGAGTCATGCTGGCTTTGGTACAACTCTTCTTCTACTGCCGTTCCTGATGGGTTGTTTCCTCATTACTGACGCCTGCAGTTCAGAAGGAAGTTTTTGCCCGTATGAATCCACTAATATTCACAAATAAAAGAAAATGTTCTATTTATTCTACAGGAAGAGGCTTTTGCGTCGCCGACGGTTAAACGTGTCCGCTCGGCTTTTATAATTAAAACGAGCTCTCGGACGACTAAACTGAGAACTGGACCCAGAACCGTTTTTTTATTTGATTTATTATTATTATTTATTTTCATTTTGCCTTTTTTTTCTGTTCAGATGTTTACTAATTACGACTGTTGTTGTTGTTGTTGTTGTGTTTCTGGTTCTCTGCTGTGGAGCTGTTTGCTCACATCCGGGTTTATTTGGCCTGTTTTTGACATCAGCTGTTGTGTTTATTCCACATTAAAGCCGTTTCTGAGAAAGGCGGAGGAGCTTCTTTTCTGAGCTGGTAGATGTTAGATGATGGTTCTCCTCGTTTTGGTCTCGGGTTCCTGACGTGAGTTTGTTTCAGCTAACCTCTGTCGTTTGGTTCCTCGCGGCCTCCTGGTCTTTTTCCCGTCGTTCCTGTTGATGGAGAAGACCCTGGAGCTGTGGAGAGTGAGTAGAAACTTCCGATTAGGAAACTTTGGTTTTTGAATTTTAAATTTGTCTTTTTGTGTGTTTCTCCAGACGAAGGGACAAGCGAGTCACATCGAGATCCTGAAGCCCATGTTTGTAGAACCAAAGGGAAAGGGAACCTTTAGTGAGGTGATGTTGCCGGGATGAGCGATCCGGGTGTAAATGTTGTCAGAAGGAAATCAGATCATAGATACTTTATTAATCCCAGAGGGAAATTAGAGCGGATCAAAAGCTAAATTTGAGAAGAGAAATGGAAAAATAGAGTAAAACTGATCAAATAAATAAATGAAAAAATGGAAATTTTGTTTAGAAATAAAAGCAAAAAATGTTTTTCCTCTGTTTACTTTCTGTTTCTTTAATTTTCCAGATTGAGTCTTTTTTGTGTCACTTTGGTGATTCGGGACCTCCTGTAGCTTTCTGACCCGCGTGTGCTTGTCTGTAGGTCATAAACGGCTACTACAGCTCTGTAAACGATCCCAAGTGTAAAGGAGGAAGCTTCTTCGCGGTGTGTCGAGGGAAGGTGAGCAGGTGCTCCCTAGAAGATCGTCGTCTTCTCGTGTTTCTGTCAGGAATCGCAGTGAGCTGTCGCTTACCCGGATTCTGCGCTTCTTCCTCAGGCCAGCGAAGGTCTGGACTTTGCAGACAACTTTTGTCGGGCCGTCGTCATCACCGGCCTCCCGTTCCCTCCCAAGTTTGATCCCCGGGTGGTTCTGAAGATGCAGTATTTGGATGAGATGAACGGAAGTAAAGCTCCTGGGGTTAAGGTGAGCGTGATGATGCTTGATGGATCGGGGCGGTGATTTGTTTTGCTTCATTCCTCCGTGTGTGGCCAGTTTCTGTCAGGGCAGGAGTGGTACAGGCACCAGGCGTTCAGAGCCGTGAACCAGGCCATCGGACGCGTCATTCGCCACAAGGAGGACTACGGTGCCATCTTCCTGTGTGACGAGAGGTCAGGAACGTTTAACACGCATCCGTAACTTGAGTTCAGAGCTGGGATGTGAACAGCTGAGATCCGCAGAAAGACATCAAGATGTAACCATTTCAGAGACGGTGAAGCCAGAACGTCTTTGGTGTTTGAGATCAGATGATCCAAGAACGTTGTGGATTTGTAAAAATCAAGTCTGAGACAGAAAATGAGTGAATCGACGTGATTCCACAGATTTAGAAGCCCAGATGTTCGGGCCAATCTCCCGTCGTGGGTCCGGCCGTACGTTCGAGTCCAAGCGGGGTTCGGGACGGTGGTTCGTGAAGTGTCTCAGTTCTTCAGGACGGCGCAGAAGATGGTGAGTGGGCACCGTAGCGCTGGAGAACGCTGCTCAGCTGAATGAACCCTGATCTGTGTTTGTTTAGAGGCCGGAGGTCATAAAGACGCCTGCAGCAGAAAACCCGGCAGCTGAATGTTCAAGCTCCTCCTCCTCCTCCTGCTCCTCCTCCTCCTTCAGCTGCGTCGTCGCCCAGAAGGCCAAGGTCCTGGACGCTCACCTCCCCAGCCTGAAGAAGAGGAAACTCGGTCGGTTTAAAAGTCCTTTTGGGTTTTATTCTGTTTTGTGCCACGGAGGCAGCTTTTTCTCTCCCCTCATGAAACGGGGTCAGGACCAGTTAAAACCTGTTTCTGTGGGATCAGATGAAGGCGGCGGCGCCAGTGGGATGGCAAAGATCTGCATCAGTTACGAGGGGGAGGTGCCGGAGAGTCAAAGGAGACCCGCCAACCTGCTGGATGCTCTGGATCAGGGTGAGCGTCGCCGTGGAGACGACGATGCTGCTGGAGGAGACGAGGTAACTCGCCCAGGAGTGAGTTTGGTCAGGAGTTCGTTACGTGAGCTGACTGTCTTAGTCCGTTTGCAGGCGAGCCGTTTGTCCACGCTGTCTCTTCAGTACAACAAGAGACTGGAGGACGAACTACGAGGAGGGAAACGCAAAATCAAGCTGGTTCATGAGCAGGTGTGTACAGCTGTGTTGGTGGAGTAACCGGCGAGGCGGCGGTGCTGACCGACGACAGCGGAGGACTCCGGCTGCTTTAGAGACACACGGAGGACTAAAGGGTCGGCTGCTTCTAGTCTGCTGCAGCAGCAGCGGATGTATGGCAGGCAGTCATGTCTAATAATGTGTTCTACAAACCCGGGCAGTGTCAGCATACGCTGTAAACGTGACTGGTGTCGTGTTACACTCGCAGAAGACGAGCACCTCTGAGGACGTGTTGGAGGACGGTAAAACCAGCAGGGCCAAACAGTTCCTGGCAGACATGAAGGCGTCTCTGAGTAAGGTGACCTTTGACCGGATCGTCCAGGCTCTGCAGGACTACAAGAAGACGGACAGCCTGGACAGCCTCCTGAGCGAGACGTCCATGCTGGCTGACGACGAGAACACCCACAGTCTCCTCCGGGGTGCGTCTGGTCTATCCTCGTCTGTTACAGGAAGGCATTCCCTGTTTTCCAGCGTCTCAAACCTGATTCCTGCCTTACAGGATTTTACCAGTTCATCCGGCCGCATCACAAAAAGAGATTTGATGAGAAATGTCTGGAGCTGACGGGACAGGGCTGCGGGTTCAAACCCGACCACTCGCTGTCCAAAGACGAGAAGAGAGCCGTGATGCTGCAGAAGTGTGAGACACTCTTTTGGTTTTAGAGGAGCGTTAACCGGGATCGCTTCCATCTGTAGACCCTGAAGATCACGAGTCATAGCAGGACATTCAGCGGGTCGACACATCTGCTCTCGTTTAATATTTCCAGCCATGATCGTTTAAATGAGGACAAACGTGACTGTCTTCCAGCCTCGGAGCGCCGGCCGGCCGAAGCTCGGAGCTCCTCGTCCAGCTGCAGACAACTGGACACGCAGCAGCTGAACGGAGGAGGACCTCACCTGAGTCAGCAGGGCTTAAAGCAACCGCAGGAAGGAGCAGGTAGCAGACCCTTCACAATAAAAGCCTCAATTAAACCTCATTTGAACGGATTATCAATGCTGGTGCAGATAAACCATCATCAGACCGGTTCTGAGGTAGTTATCCATAAAAGAGCAGAACTGCACACGTCGGCTACAATCCTGAATCAGGAAGAGTCTGACCCTTAATCCTAATATAATCCGTGTTTTTACTGTGTGCTTTAATCTGTGAAAACTAGGTTCTGCTAAGGGGAACAAAGTCTACGCCGCCCTCATCGCTGATGTGAAGGAAGCCTTCGGAGCCGAGAAGTCCTCCCTGCTCTTCCAGGCCATCCGCCGCTACAAGGAGACGGACGTCTACGAGGACCTGGTGACCACGCTGGTGAACATGTTCATGGAGACGTGGGAGCACTTCGACCTTCTGATCCGTGAGTTCCTTCAGGACCGCCCTGGGCCGTCGCTGCTGCCCGGACCCGACCTCATTAGTTTCTTTATTTACTTACTGAAGGGTTTGGCACGTTTGTTCGCCCACATCACAAGAAGCTGTACAAAGAGATGCTGGACGCTCTGATCTTCTCAGCGGCTCGGGATCCGTCTCTGAAGGAGGAGCAGGAAAAGCGAGGTCAGAACCAACCCGCTGCTTTTAAATAACCACAATAAATCCCTTTGTTCAGTTACTGAGTTTGGTTTCCTCCGTCCGCTGTTTCTGGAGACAAAAATGTCCACGTCCCACAAAACGGCCATAAATAAATTCCCGTTCGTCATCACGCTCGGGTGACGTTCATATCCACGCGTGACCCGTCCCCGTGGGGAGCTGCAGCGATGGCTGCACTCGGGAACTGTTTGGTGGTTTAACCCCCCCCCATTAAAGCTGCACACACACAGGGGTGTAAGAAAATACCGATATGGGAATATATCGTGATATATCGTATCACCAATACACATCCCTAGTATCCGGCAGCACCGGGTCCCATTTGAAAGTGTTTGGTATGACCCGACCGGGACCTGAACCCCGGTGTCCCAGTCCCGTGGGGGACTACCACTAGGCCTCTGAGAAGGACAGGGAGATGAAGTCAGAGAGGACAGACTGAGACTGGACATGTCCAGATGAGGGACATGTCGGCGCATTAACCTGGTAGCCCTTCGGTCATGCTGAAGTAGCACTGAGCTTCACAAAGGTCATGACCCCTGCTCTAGGGTTTCAGGCTGTTTTCTCTTTTCAGCTCCTCTGTTGCCTCCTTTTAAGACACAAAGCAAGATTTCTACTTTTTTCTCCACAAATAAAGACGACATCTAAACTTCGAAGAGGACGATTTGTAGGACGGAGCAGAGTCTTCGATCTGCGGCGACCACTTCCTGTTTTTCCTGAGAGGGACTCAGATGAGCGGAGGAGCCCCAGTAGAGTTTGTGTTTCCTGGCTTTCGAGAAGCTTTAAGACTCTGCATGAGTTACAGACTTGTCATCGACGTTCAACGTGAGTTGTTTCCTATCAGATCATTGGTGCTTTATCACCTCAGGGCTGAATAATAGCAGCGATTATTAAATATCAGGGGGATTTATTTAGGGTTCTGTTTTAGTTTTTAACTTGTCATCAGGTTTGCAAATAAAATGCTGGATTTTTTTTATTTGGAGAAATAATCCTGCTGAACCCTGAGAACAATCTCGTGGAGACGTAATCCTGAAGCCTGTTAATAAAACTGATATTTTATGTTTTGTATGAAAATGTATGATGGACTAATAAACAGCTTTTTATGAAGTGAACTGCGTTTACTTTTTTCTCAGAGCTCATACTTGAAGGCATTAAATGCTGGATCATATTCACATCCCAACCTGAACATTTAGGATCTCGTTCTGTATTTGTTTGTGCTTTCTAATTCTTTTGTCACGATGATGTGAGGAATCATGACTAGTGGTGTGCATCTCTACCTGCCTCACGATTCGATTTGAGTCTGACATGCATCACGACTCTTCACACAAACATTTTCATGACTTAATAAAAGCAGCAGAATAGTTTAATTTCTTTTTGATTTTGAAATCCCTGAAAAAAAGAACATTCATCTATTCACTATAGTGAGCAATAATTTTTAAAGTGTGCTGCCTATAATTACTTAAATAATATAAGAAATAATGTTTTCGGTAGAGCAGCTTTAAGATAGAATATTACTGAACTTAAAAATAGTATACAAATACTGTGTTAAGTGATTCTTTCACATCCAGGATCCCAAAACCGAAATTAGCCCAGACATCCGATTTAAATGTAACGGGTACATCTTTGATTACTGGTAATGTTGGCCCTGTATCCCTGTCCAATTGCTTCTAGGACAACGCAGCGCGCATGTCATTGCAACTCTGCCCCCAGAAGTAGTTGTAAAACCTCAAAACTTTATTGTCCTGCATAGACATAGACCAGGGGTCGGCAACCTGTTCCCATCAAAGAGCCATTATTACCCGTTTCCCACAGTAAAGAAAACACCACAGCAGCTGCGGCGTTGTGGGCGGGGCCTACCCTCAGACAGCAGAGAGCTGCTCACAACAGGTGACAGCAGCCGGTACCGGTCGCTCGTGTACGTCAAAGTTATCTTTCATAAGACGATAATCAATCAAACGATTTATATAAAGTGGATCCAGAAGTTGTAGCCCGTCTCTGCCGACAATATTTAGATATTTTTCACCCTGTTGGTGGTTTTACTGAGCAGGTGCCACTTTTGTCATACGTTTCTTTTTAAAACATGTTTAGACTGTTCAGAATACAAATCCAGGCTCTGTCACGTTTGATTGTTGTGATTAAACGTTGTAGGTGGGGAAGGTCGGAAAAGGATCCGATCATTTTGTTTTTCCCTCGTTTACAGTGACGGAGATAACGGCGCAGTGCGCCTGGCTCTGGTGGTAATCAAGTTTAATTTTATCTATTTTCACAAGAAAACAGAACAGTTAAAAGCAGGGCTTGTGTTGACCGGACAGTTCCCGTATTTGACCGTTTATTTTGACGGAGAAAGAATAGAAAGAATTACCCCGACGCATGCAGACTAACTGACATTTTATTCTACGCACATCGCAGATGTAGCTAAATCACCCAAGAAAAGATTCACATCTGAACATCTGAGCTGGACACTGCTCAGCGCAGCTCACTGTCAGCGTGTACTACATAAGGTCCACAGCGAGCTGAAGATGTGGAGAGGGGCTTGGAGCGCGTCGCAGAACCAGAGCGCATGTGGGAAGATTCCTCCCACTGAAGCGAGACTTGTCACTCAGAAAATTTTCCCTGATGATGAAACTTTGGCTGAATAGCGCTTGTTCCTGTCTCCAATGTGGCGACACATCCAGGAGCCGTGTGAGGAGAATCCCAGAATCTCACATCCTCTACAGCTCATAAAGTGCCTATATGATTACGCACAAGCGGGACCCGTCAACCTGGTCTCACAGTAAGACTGGGCTGGACCTGTTCAGGTTTACGCAGACGATCTTTACATTTAGAATTAGCATACAGATTCAAAATTAATGCAGTAAAATATAAAGCTTTTTATTTAAATATCCATTCATTATTTTACAAGCACAGAGAGCCGCATCAGATGGATGGAAGAGCTCCAGAGCCACGGGTTGCCGACCCCCGACATAGACATAGGGAGAAAATCTCATGTCACATTGCTGCATTGATGCGGAATCCTGCACGGCTGAATTGCGATTCATCTTAGAATCGATCATTTTTCCCACCTCTAATCATGATGCTGTTAGTGTTTTATCTGCATCTAAAAGTTGCATTCATATGCAATCAGGAAGTTTAATGTCTAAACAGTCAAACTTGAAGTTTTATTAATTCAAAGTTTTTCTAGAATGTTTTTATTAGTAAAACTGATTTATCAGCTGGGTCGAACTAATTTACCATAAAAACAAGTATAGATCAGCGTTGTTAGATGGATGTAGAAGGTGTTAGGGACCATGAACGCAGCAAACGTGATTGCCGAAGACCTCGCGAGAATTGGTCCGGGAAATGACGGGACTTCCATCATGGCCGGCAGTAAGTTGGTGTTGGAAGGCAGAGTTAGTATTAAAGCGTTTATTTTAGGGCTCAGCGTCCTTTTAATCCCGCTCATCAGAACCTGGTTCGGACATCTCGACTGGGTCTTCGACTATCTGACGGAAACTCCAGGGAAAGTGGTTATTTGTCTTCACGTAGCTGTAGTTAACGGCCTGCTGCTGCTCATTTACAGAGGACCCATTTACAAGGTAAGTGGGGAGCTAACCTCCGATTTTCTCCCTTGTTGTTTCAAACACATGAATCTGACTTTAAGGTGTTTTATCTACTTCCGTCCGCTGTTGGGCAACCTGAACATCTCCGTGGTCCGCTGAAGCAGTTGGTTAGTTCCTCCTAGCTTCCTGTTAATCCCATCAGATTAGAGCAGAAGCAGCTGCTTAATAAACCCAAAATAGAAACTTAAACTGATCAAGATGAAGCTGCTCTTCAGACTCTTTACACTTTATAAAACCAGCTAAAGTCTTAAAGAACTAAACCAAGCAGGAGAAATGTAAAACTTGTGTTCATCATCTGTTTCTCCTAATCTGGACCCATAAATCTGTTCAGTTCTCTCCCTCATGACTTCTCTGATGTCTCCAGCCTCACTTTGTAATGTCTGGACACACACGGACAGAATGTTTGTCTCGTGGTGTTTATCTGTTTGGATGTTTTTATTTAAAGAGAACCTGAATCAGCTGTTCGGTCATAAACGCGCACATTAATGTATCCCGCAACTAAATCCTTTAAGAGAAACCAAGTTTTTTCTCTAGTTTCCCAAAACGATCAGCTGATCAGAAGGATCATTATTCAGTCTGATTGTCGTGGTCAGTGATCAGCTGATTAGTTTTGACCTGTGACCCCATCCTGCTAACAGCAAATAATCTGGAGTTTTTTTTTTTTTTTTTTTACTTTCAGAATCATAATTTTTTACGTTAATCAGAAATAAATGTTTGTAGTTACTCATGGCTGTTGAAGATAAATCTGCATCAGCAGATTCGAGCTGTGTGAGAGTCCGAAATCGGTATCGACCCTCAACGCCTGAATTGGTGCACACTGAATTCTGCATCCTGGTTAGGGCTGCACAATATATCGTAAATGTATCGTTATCGCAATATCAGCATGCACAATATATCGTAAATGTATCGTTATCGCGATATCGGCATGCACAATATATCGTAAATGTATCGTTATCGCAATATCAGCATGCACAATATATCGTAAATGTATCGTTATCGCGATATCAGCATGCACAATATGCATATCGCAATGACCGGTCAGCTCAAATGTTTGCTACACATAATTTATTCTTTCAGTCAAACGGAAGCATGATGTTTTTTAAACACATCTAATGGAGCTCTTCACCCATTTGGCCAATCGGGTGGGTTCTCATAGGTCAGATGCCCGCCCCTGAGGCAGATGGCACTTAGGCCCTGTCCACACGTAGCCGGGGATCTGCCAAAACGTAGATATTTTTCTACGTTTTGGGTGTCTGCGTGTGGACAGACAAAACCGGAGTTTTAAGGTCCGCAACGTCACTTTCCACGACAACAAAATGCTGACATCACGTGTGCGACCTGTGTTTACACTAGCCGACAGCATGGAAGCCCTCAGAGCTGCGCTCGCTTTATCAATCGTCCGAGCGCTTTTTGCTTGTTTGTTTTTGCAAGCGGAATTACTGCTCCTCGCGGAAGACCACAGACGAAGGACGAGGTTAAGAACGGGGGAAGTACTGCTGCCTACAGGTCTGGCATGTGCTTAACAACGTATTTATCCGGGTACGTGTGGACAGTTTTTTTTTAAAACGAGGTGGTGTGGATGCAAGTTTTTGGAGGGGCGGATATTCGTTTAAAAAAACCCCGGCTACGTGTGGACTAGGCCTTAATTTTGATGGTTAGCAAACACCTGAGTTAGCTTTGCTCTTTTTGCTGATTCTGCTTTTCCCAGGATCCATGGATTCCCTTTTCTTTTTCCCTTTCCTCACATCTTTTGCTTTTCTCATTTTTATGAGTTTTTTATTTCTTTGTTTTTGATTATTTTTATTCCTGAGTTAAGTTTTTATTTATCACAAGTAATATCGTCATCGCAATATTAATCACTGTTATCGAATATCGCAGGTTTTCCTGATATCGGGCAGCCCTAATCCTGGTCATTAATATTTTGCTAAAATAATCCGATGATGACTAAATTCTGAGGGTTCTTCGCGCTCTCACCACCGATGACGTGTCCTGCTCATGTCGGTGCAGAAACCTGAGGACTCTCCAGACCCGTTAAAGGAAACGCTTGTCTCCTGTTTGCTTTCCTGTCCGCGGGTTGACCCGAGTGTTCTGACCTGTTTCAGGTGGCGGTGAGAGCCTGTTTCCTGGGAGTCACTTTTGGATGTGGATTAATGATCAGCTTCTCTGAAACCACCTGGACACATTTTGGGTGGTACGTAGTCGCCGCCGCCACAGCGCCGAGCTAAAGAAACACTGTTTTCATGTTTATTTAGCTAAAAAATGATAACCGATCAGTCAACCTATTCCATCCAGTCCTGAGCCTCCCGTTGGGTCCGTGTGGTTCTGGTGTCTCCCTGCAGGTACATGTGCTCTCTGTCGTTCTTCCATTACTCCGAGTACCTGGTGACGGCCATCATCAACCCCCGCAGCCTGTCGCTGGACTCCTTCCTGCTGAACCACAGCGTGGAGTACACGCTGGCCGCCATCTCGTCGTGGCTGGAGTTCACCGTGGAGAAGCTCACGGTTCCAGGTCTGTCCGGGGACTCCTGGGAGGGGTTTAAACTCGGGCCGGAAGTTTTAACGGGACCGTTAGTCTTTAACTGAGAGGAAAACCTGAGTTTTGGGATCGGATCGGTTTGCAGCTTTGATGCAATAATAACATGTTTGTTTATTTTCTTCCAAACTGTTTGATCTTTCTTTGAGTTTCGCCTCAAAAACGAAACAAAATGTTGAGTCAGTTTTGCAGAGACGGAGCTGAAACGTGACGCGCTTGTATCCGAGCGCCGTTCCGCCTCATTTCAGGTCCAGTGGTACCGTCTGAGACCAGAACCGGTGAAGAAAGCTGGGACGTTTATGTTTGATGCACCGGTTCTGCTGTTTTGGGCCAATACCGGTTTTATTCTGATCTTCAGCTGTTTTTATTTAAAAACTAAATCCACGTTTTTTATTTATTTCCAACATGGAAGCTCTGTTGTTGGCTAACGTTAGCGCTTAGCGACGGGTCGGTTTCAGAGCCAGCTGATCGGTGCGTCTCCTGTAGCTAAAGCTCGTTTCTGCCCCCACCCACGCAGAGCTGAAGCAGCTGAGCTGGATCAGCATGGCCGGGCTGGTCATGGTGCTGTGTGGCGAGGCGCTGCGGAAGGCGGCCATGTTGACTGCCGGATCCAACTTCAACCACATAGTCCAGAACGAGAAGGCCCAGAGCCACGTTCTGGTCACCAGCGGGGTCTACGCCTACTTCAGACACCCGTCCTACGTGGGCTGGTTCTACTGGAGCATCGGAACTCAGGTGAGCCATAACGTTATGACCACCTGGCTGACTCCAGGTCCAGCTGGTCTGACCTCATGGACCCGCCGGGCTCCGGTTCTTTACGCTTTGCTTTGGTTTGCTGCTGCAGGTTTTGCTGTGTAACCCGGTCTGTATTCTGGGCTACACGATAGCCAGCTGGAGGTTCTTCAGGGAGCGGATCGAGGAGGAGGAGCTGTCGCTGATCCACTTTTTTGCCGAGGATTATGTGGAGTACAAGAGGAAGGTTCCCACCGGGTTGCCCTTCATCTCCGGCATCCGTGTCAACTAGTCCGGGAGCTGGACCGGGACCTAGTGACTCTAAGCACCAAAGCAGGTCAGCCCCAGTGGGTGTGTGCAGTCTGCTGTAGCGGCAGCGCCCTCTGGAGGTGAGAGCCTGCAGCTCCGACAGACGCTCGGCGGCAGCTGGACTGCTGATTTTCTACCAACTTCCTGTTCCTCGTCTCACCTGTTCCTGTCTGCACGTTCATCCGTTTCACTCACCTGTTTAAGACACGATGCTGCACCCGGAGTTGGCCGAAGAGCTGGGAAAAGTTCAGGAAATTTTCACTAAACTAAAAAATTCCAAGGTTCCTGAAAACGTCCTCCTGAACAGCCTTGGTTCAGGGAAGTAGTTTACATCCTCTAGGATTGATGTGCTAACGGCTAGTGAAAGATGAGTAACTTTTCTACAGAACCTTCTGCTGAAACTCCTCTGAGGTGTTTAAACAGAGCTTGATTTATTTTTACATTAAAGTTTATTGGATCGTTTCCACATGTTTATTGGACCGAACGGCTTTCCGTAGACTGTTTTAAAAAAGATTTTTAAGATATAAACTATTTAATTTTGCACTCATTCTCTGAGTGTGGGGTTTGTCACAAATAGAAGTCTGAATCATTCAGATTCATTCCCAAAATCCTGGAATCCCAAACGGAGTGGGAATAATTATTTGGTATTATAAAATTCATGTTTTACTCAACGCTCAAACAATTATTTCACCAAAATAAAAGACTCATCAGGTTGAAGTAAAAGGACCAAAGGAAATTTAGTTTATCATCAGTTTTTCTCTTTGAGACGTTCCAAACGTCACAAACCAACTCCGGTTCCGATTTATTTTTGTTTTTGTAAACTGGAAAGGTGAGAATAAACGTGGCAGGTTGGGATTATTCAGAGTTATTGTATTTAAAATAAACATTTAATCTGAGTTTGTTAGAGAAGCTAAATTATGGAATATTTTATTTACCTTGTCCTCGTCGAGTTTCATGTGGTGCTGCAAACGTTCCGAACGGCTCCAGAAACTTCCAGAAGGAAATTCTGAAGCGAGTCTCGTTTAGGAACTGGTTTGTTTTCTACTGAAGCGTCACGCAGACGCAGAAGGTCCAGCTCTTCAAATCCGGATCCGTCTCGCTGCAGAGAGCAGAGTCTTCCCTCCGGTTTGTTGTTGCATCGGATCAGAAACCGTTTATGAAGATGGACGTTGGTTCTGGTCCTGCTGCCGCTGGACCCGCATGGTTCTGGTCCTTCTGCAGGCTGACCCACATGGTTCTGGTCCTGCTGCCGCTGGACCCGCATGGTTCTGGTCCTGCTGCAGGCTGACCCGTGTGGTTCTGATGTTGCATTAATGGGTTTTGGGTCATTTTGAACGATATTTGCAAACATCCCTTCTGAGAGTTTTCTGAACAGCCTCAGCTCAGAGAATTAGAGTTTCTGTCCATCAGGATTGATGAGCTAACGGCTAGGTAGACCAGTGTTGGTTTCCCATTGGTGTGCGTGGCTGAGGTAAGGCAGTGTTTCCCCACAGAAACGAAATGGTCCGTGACGATGTGTACAGTAAGGAAGTTTGCTGAACTTCCAGCCATTTTCCCTGTTTTCTCCTGTGGTCCGGAAGTAGATGGGTGTGGCTTAGGCTCCCTATGAAATACTCCCCAGACACCAAGAAAAAAGCTCTTCCACTGAGTTATTTATGCCTTTATTCCCGTCAGTCTTCTGGCGCTCATTTAAGAAACAAATCAGTTGATTCCGGCTTTCCAGCTCAATCCGAATATTCCATTCTCTCCAGAAACAAACACGTTTCATCACTGAGGCGACTTTCCTTTGGATTCGTTTGAATCTGCGTTTCACCTGCAGGCCTGAACCGGTCCTCAGCGAGCGTTCGTTCTGATCCGATGCACGTTGACTTTTCATGCTTTAGCTGCACGCTGAACTCCTGATGCGGGTTCTGGGTTTTCAGCGCCGACTCAACTCTCAGGACCGGATTTGGAGACGCTGGTGGGAATCTGATCGGGAAACAAACATGAAACCTTCTTATCTTTTCGCTTACCGGGACACATGTAGCATATCTAAAGGTGCATTGTGGAGGGGGCAGTTATACAGGAGCTGGTGTACACACACACACACACACACACACTGATGATGCTGCATTCACGTTTTTACAGAGAATCTCCTCTGACTGAGAACTGTCGGCTGACTCATTTATGCAGGACTTGTTTGAAATAAAACTGATGCTGTTATTGAACGTCTGTGTTTGTTATTAGATGATTAGATTAACTGGTCGTCAAACATCTTTATCATGATGCATTTGTGTTTCTGAAGTTTACTCCAATGGGAAAACAAAGTCGAGGTAATAAAATGGGTCCAGCTGTTGACCACGGCTGGTCCAACGTCGGCTCATGGAGCAAATCAAGACTAGAGAGCTTTAAGGGAGCCTGAGGAACCTCCAGAGGAGACCATCCTAATCCGATCCCACAACCACCTCGGCTGATGAGGAGGAGCCGCTCCACGAGTCGTTCAGCCAGAACAAAGTACACTAAAGAGGCGAGTCCTTTAAAACGGAGCGTTGGTGCAGCAGAACAAACCAGTATCTACATTTGGACACACATCAGGACTACACCATGGGTCCGAGAACGTTCCCAGTAAGAGTGACGGTAAACACAGAAGAAAGCTCTCCAGAACAGCAGATACCCCGACTGGAAAAGCATCCAAAGCAGCAACCAGAGAAGGACAACAGAGGCACCATCATCCCACACGTGGCAGGAGTCTCAGAGAAACCTAGAAGGATCTTCTCCAAACACGACATCCCAGTAAACTTGAACCCAACAACACCCTCACACAGAACCTGGTCCATCCTGAAGACTAAACGCCCAAACAGAAGCTCAGTGGGGTCATTAATGCAGTCCAGTGTGGTGAGGACTGTCCAGATGTTGACATCAGGGAGACTAAACAACAAGTACACAAGAGCATGGCACAACACAGGAGAGCCACCTCTTCAGGTCAGGACTCTAGTCCACCTACACCTGAAGGACAAGGACACATTCTGGACAGAGAAGACCGATGGACTGAGAGGAGTAAAAGAAGATATGTCAAACGTGAAAACCCCACTTTAAATAGGAAGGAAAAGAAAGAAAACGGTCTTTTATACAGCGCCTCTCAAGACAAAGATCACGAGGCCCTTCACAAGAACAAAAGAAATTAAAGTATAAAAATGATTAAAATGAGAAAAAATAAAAATTGTGATTAAAAAATAATAAAATAAGGAGAGGGAGAGAGGGAAATGAATAGGAGAGAGGGAAATCAGTGGATGCCAGGAAAAGTGGAATAAGAGCAGAACAAGGAGAGGGTGATGAAGGTCGCACCAAAGCCTGAACAGGTGAGCTGAAAGGAGACCACTGAGTCCACTGATCAACACAACGACTCCCTCTCTGTAGAGGCTAACGAGTAATGACTCATCAGGGGGAAGATAGGGGGTACTCAGAGTAGTTTCTGCTCGTTAACAACGGACAGCTACAGGTTATCAGCTTGACTCTCCCATATTCCAGTCAGAATTGACAAAGCTCCTCGGATGATAAGCTAAAGGCTTCAAGAAACCAAAGAAATCCAGTTGCCTTCATTTTAACCCTTTTGGATGATAAAAATATCAGTTTTGCTAAAACGGAATGTTTTTACAGTGACACAAATAAAAGTCAAGAACGGTTTGGCTCAGAGAAAAGTGGTAAGTTTGTTTTTATTCCAGCCGCTGGCGTCTTTCCCAGTTTGTTGCGAATCGATCAGCTTCAATCAGTGATTCGGTGTTTGATTATTACGCATGCGCACAGGTGGTTCTTCCTTTCTGCTAGCTTCTCCGTCATGGCGCCGATTGTAAGTACAGCCTCCTGTCCTGTAAATCCCTCATAACTACGTAAAATTCAGTTTGAAATCCTGATGCAACAGTCTGTAGAAAATGACAATTTAGATTTAGCGCTGATTAATCTGTTCAAAGGGTTTTATTCGGCTTTGGTTCCTCTTTTATGGGTTTATTTGGTCTCGCGGCGGCCTGTTAGCTGTTAGCTCGGTGTGTTCACCACCACGTTGTTAACTCGGACTGATTTCTGCAGGAATAGTTTTTAACTCATTCATGTTTCTTACCAGTTAATAACCAGCTGTCTGCTCTAGTGCTCGTGTTTTGTCTGTTAAATTTATGTTTTTTATGTAAATAAAAGCCGAATTCACCCCGAACTCAAGCGTTGAATCACAACAACGATTAGAAAACGTCACGAAGTTTGACCAACACAAATAATTTCAGTTTCCTGAAGCGCTTTAGGGTTCATCTGTGAGGTTGTGTGAGGATTTCCGAGCTAGGATAGTTGAGTGGTGTGAGTTATTTGTTTCTGTGGCGCCAGCAGAAGAAGCAGAACACCGGTAAAGGTGGGAAGAAGAAGAAGCAGGTGCTGAAGTTCACCCTGGACTGCACACATCCGGTGGAAGATGGAATCATGGACGCCGCCAACTTTGTGAGTTTCATAGTTATTCATTTTATCAGGTTAGTTCAGATTAACGGTGACAAAAGGGAAGGTTTACCCAGATTAGCTGTTGGTGTTGAAATCTGGTTTTATTCTGTCAAAAATTCCGTTTCCCAATAATAAACAGCTCTGGTTTTTCTTTTACACAATAAAATTAAAACATATAATATATATATATGTATATGTTGCATTTTTAATTAATCTTGGCGATTTGGGTTATTATTGAAATGAATAATGCAGTGATAATTTAAGGCTGTATTAAGAACAACTTTGCTCCATCAGGTGTTTGAACTCAGGATTAATCTGGAATACTAAATAATCCTGACCAATAAGGTGCGCAGTTGCAGAATTATAGATGTATAATTAGTAATGCTGATTATTGTTTGGAAAATCTTCCACTTCATGGAAATTAATGTTGAAGGAAAGTAATCTGATGGTCCTGGATGATGAGAATCGACACCAACATAAGGGGTTGCATTGGGGGGTTAAACCACCAGACTGTTCCCGAGCTGCAGCCACGGGATGATGACTAATGGGAGAGCGTAAACCTGGATCAGCAGCTAAATCAGGAGGTGGATACAGTAAACTGGTTATTATGAAAAGGTCTTGATTCAAAAACCATCTAATAAAGTTCACCTGAAGGTGACTAAAGGAACCCTCTGTGTGTGTTTTTGTTTACAGGAGCAGTTTCTGCAGGAGCGCATCAAAGTGAACGGGAAAGCCGGCAACCTGGGCGGGGGGGTGGTCTCCATCGAGAGGAGTAAAAGCAAGATCACGGTTTCCTCCGAGGTGCCGTTCTCCAAAAGGTGAGGAGCTGTTTCATCCCGTCTGTAGCTCGACTGGACCCTCAGAGGCACGTTACCTGATGCGCTGCTGTTTGGTTGCATGTTTGTGGCGGAGAGATGGACTTGTGTGGTTTTTAAGATTAAAGATTAATTAAAGATTAAAGTCCCATTTAGTCGTCACACACACACACACAGGTGTGTGGTGAAATTTAGTCTCCGCATTTGACCCATCCCCTGGGGGAGCGGTGAGCTGCAGACACAGCCGCGCTCGGGAACTATTTGGTGGTTTAACCCCCCAATCCAACCCCTTAATGCTGAGTGTCAAGCAGGGAGGCGTTGGGTCCCATTTTTTCAAAGTCTTTGGTATGACCCGACCAGGAGTAGAACCCCTGATCTCCCGATCTCAGGGCGGACCCTCTACCACTAGGCCACTGAGTCGGTAGTAGAGGGTTTCAGAGGGTTTCATGGCTGATGTTCAGACGTTTTCTAATATTTTGTTTTTTTCACCACTGAACTTAAACTTATGAGCTCCTCAGTGTTGGAATAAAACATTCAAACATCGACGGTAGCGTCCTAACGCGTTTGAGCTGATGGTTTTCAGGAGCGTTGGGTAAAAATACAGATGGGCTGCTGGACTGTAAATCGGCCTGACGTGCCGCTTCATCGCGGTCGTCTGTCCGATGGAGGACGCAGGCCCAGCCGGCTGCTTGCAGACGGGTCGTTTCATACATGTAGAATTTAATTTTTATGTGTTTTTTTTTTACAGAAGTTAAATATTTTCTAGTTCTGAGTTCTGATTCAAACCTTTTGGTTTTAGGCTCTGTCGTGTTTTTTCTTCATATGATAAATGGCCTGTTTTTGATACAGCGCCTTCTAGAGTCCTGGAACCCCCCCAAGGCGCTTTACAACACAATCATTCACACATTCACACGCTGGTGGGGATGAGCTACGATGTTGCCACAGCTGCCCTGGGGCGCGCTGACGGAGGCGGGGCTGCCGAGCACTGGCGCCACCGGTCCCTCCGACCACCACATGGGACAGCAGCAGCAGCTCAGGAGGTACAGCGGGTTGTCCGGTAATCTAAAGGTTGCAGGTTCGATCCCGGCTTGGACCAGAGTGTTGCTGTTGTGTCCTTGGGAAAGACACTTAACTCGCCTCACCTGCTGGTGGTGGTCAGCGCGCCCCAGGGCAGCTGTGGCTACACAGTAGCTCCTCATAACCATGTGGGAATGGTGAAGCGCCTTGGGGGGTTGTAGAACCCTAAGAAGGCGTTTTTTATAGTTTGTGTTTGCTACAGAGTCTTGGATCTGCTTTTTGGTTTGGACCGCACCGGTTCTGGTCTCATTTCTCATGATAAAAGATGAACAATCTGCATTTCAGATGAAGTTGTTCAGCGACGTAAACCTTTTGCCAATATTTGTGTATTGGGTCTGTGAGTGAGCCCTCCTCTCCCTGGAGGAGCCTTAAACGTTTGACCCGACGCCTCAGAACCGCGAACCCCCCCGCCCCTCCCACCCAGAAGGTTCTGATGGAGTTTTGTTCTTGCAGATACCTCAAGTACCTGACCAAAAAGTACCTGAAGAAGAACAACCTTCGTGATTGGCTGCGCGTGGTGGCAAACACCAAGGAGAGCTACGAGCTTCGCTACTTCCAGATCAATCAGGACGAGGAGGAAGAGGAGGACGAAGATTAGATTGGCAGTTCGTCTTTGTTTTGTAGATTTAAATAAATTTTGTTTACAGAACAGAACCGTGTCTGTTTACCTGGAGCTCTGGGCCGGACGCCAGTTTCCTACCCGACAAACAGCTGGAAGGTTGAAATCCACAAAAATAAAAATAGAAGCAGCAGATGATCGGAGTTTGGGTTGCCATGGCAACGTGGGCATTTGTAAGGTTTTCTAGATGAAACTGAAGCAGCTGAGTCCATGTAGGGATAACCTTATCCTTGTTTCAGTTCTAAACCTTAAGAATTCCATGGGAATCTGTTTTCCACACACTAGGAACCGGAACAGCTCCGATCCAAAGCGGTTCTCCTTACCAGGGCTGAACAAAGTTCTGCAGAGGAGTTCGAGTCATTTTACACGAATCTTTAATCATTTCAATGGAAAAGAAAAACATGAGCGTAAAAAACAGAACTCAGTACAAACACCTTCCCTACTGGGACGTGGGACCAGTTCCAGACTTGGTTCTGACCCGTTTCTGAACCCGCTTTAAGCGTTACAACACAAGTGAAGACGAGAGCTGAGGGACTCGGAGGCATCCTGGATGCAAACACTGAAGGAATGTAACAACGTCAGGTGGAACGCCGTGTTCCACATCCCGACTGGACGGCGGCCGGAACCGCCAAATAAACGATCAGCTGATCCTCCGTAACCTGAACGTGGACGTAGAAAAAGGCACGGGTACGGAGTGTTGGTCTCTGAGGCCCCGGAGGGAAAAGTCCGAAGGTTCTTCTTTACCTCCAGAAAACAGACGAACAAAAACGACAAACAAGGATGCTGAACTGGAATATGAACTGAAAACTGGGAATTTTGGGAAGCACGGCTGCGTTGAGCTAAGTGCCGGTTCTGTAATGGACTGTCCTGTCCCACCCTCTGGTTTTGGTGTCCGAATCGTTGTGTGGAGCAAGTTTGCTGGTAGTTGAGATGTTTTGTGCGGCGCTGAACCCGACCGTCCCACCGGATAACAAACCAGGAAAAACCCACTGGCCCGCTTGGGCAGAACCGGCCGGCGGTGCTGGAGAGCCTCTCAGATTGTTCGGGGGTTGTACTCTGGAAGCTTCTTCAGCTTCTCTTGTTCCTGCTGAGCGTCCTGCCGGGCGATGACCAGCGAGTGGGCGTATCCCATCACCACCTGCAGGAAGGACGGGAAACACGGAGTCAGCCATTTAAATAAAACCAACTCCATCCAGGTGGGAGGAGATCCAGGTACCTGCTCCACGTAGATCCCATCCAGAGTTTTAACCTCCTGAGCCGTAGTGGAGGATTTGGGTTTGCTGTCTCCGTATCCCTGAAGAATAAACATTTAGTTTGGTTCTGATTGTCAACAACAACAAACATGAAGACGATGAATCTACCAGCTCTCCGAACGTGGGCGCCGGCCCCCAGCTGATGGTGCTCTCGTCAGCTGCGATGATGATGCTGCTTTTCCTGCCAAACATTTAAAAACAAACGTTAAAACGTTTGTGCCGAGGAGGTGACGGTACCCGTTTCCACCAGCAGGGGGCAGACTGAGAACCTAGAGGTGACGGTACACGTCTCCACCAGCAGGGGGCAGGCTGAGAACCTAGAGGTGACGGTACACGTCTCCACCAGCAGGGGGCAGACTGAGAACCTAGAGGTGACGGTACACGTCTCCACCAGCAGGGGGCAGGCCGAGAACCTAGAGGTGACGGTACCCGTCTCCACCAGCAGGGGGCAGACCGAGAATCTAGAGGTGACGGTACCCGTCTCCACCAGCAGGGGGCAGACCGAGAACCTAGAGGTGACGGTACCCGTCTCCACCAGCAGGGGGCAGACCGAGAACCTAGATGTGACGGTACCCGTCTCCACCAGCAGGGGGCAGGCTGAAAACCTAGATGTGACGGTACCCGTCTCCACCAGCAGGGGGCAGACCGAGAACCTAGATGTGACGGTACCCGTCTCCACCAGCAGGGGGCAGACCGAGAACCTAGATGTGACGGTACCCGTCTCCACCAGCAGGGGGCAGGCTGAAAACCTAGAGGTGACGGTACCCGTCTCCACCAGCAGGGGGCAGACTGGGAACCTAGAGGCGACTGTACCCGTCTCCACCAGCAGGGGGCAGGCTGAAAACCTAGAGGTGACAGTACCCGTCTCCACCAGCAGGGGGCAGACCGAGAACCTAGAGGTGACGGTACCCGTCTCCACCAGCAGGGGGCAGACTGAAAACCTAGAGGTGACGGTACCCGTCTCCACCAGCAGGGGGCAGACCGAGAACCTAGATGTGACGGTACCCGTCTCCACCAGCAGGGGGCAGACCGAGAACCTAGATGTGACGGTACCCGTCTCCACCAGCAGGGGGCAGGCCGAAAACCTAGAGGTGACGGTACCCGTCTCCACCAGCAGGGGGCAGACTGGGAACCTAGAGGCGACTGTACCCGTCTCCACCAGCAGGGGGCAGACTGAAAACCTAGAGGTGACAGTACCCGTCTCCACCAGCAGGGGGCAGACCGAGAACCTAGAGGTGACGATACCCGTCTCCACCAGCAGGGGGCAGACTGAAAACCTAGAGGTGACGATACCCGTCTCCACCAGCAGGGGGCAGACCGAGAACCTAGAGGTGACGATACCCGTCTCCACCAGCAGGGGGCAGACTGAAAACCTAGAGGTGACGGTACCCGTCTCCACCAGCAGGGGGCAGACCGAGAACCTAGAGGAGCTCGGTGAGGATCTAAAGCTGATTTTACTGGTGAATCTAATCAAACTTCATTTGAAGCTGCAGAATGAAACCAAAAACCAACCAGATCAGAGGGGAGGAGCTAGTGAAGCTAGCTCTGGTGACCTTCATGTGACCTTTGACCTTACACCAGTCCCGGTTTTATTAGTCGTGTGATTGTACGTAACTGCGGACTGGAACTCACCCACAGGCCAAACTACGGACCTTCCAGCCACACAGGTCCTGCACAGCTTTGGGATACATGGTGGAATCTCTGGACGTGTTGGTCACCCCCCAGAAAAACAGCACCCCTGCAGAAAAACCCACACAGGAGACCAGTGAACGGTTGGTTCAGACCTCTGAAGCTGCTCTCCGGTCGGCTCTTTGCTCACCCATCTCGTTGATGGCGAAGGAACACTGGTACCCGGCATAGATCTGAGCGGCGCCGCGGCCGGGAAAGTCGAACAGCTTGACGAGCCGAGGAACCATCTCATCTTTCTGCTCTGTGTGACCCAGGCGGCCGTAACCGCCGAAGCCCCAGCTGAAGACTCGTTTCTGGGAGTCCAACACCAGCTGGACACATGGAGATGACGCTCAGTTTGTTAACGGGTCACAGAACCAACCTCACGGCTGGAGCCGGGTCCTCACCGTGTGGTTGGATCCACAGGACACGTCTCTGACCACCACATTGGGCACCGGCATGACCTGCCCGTCCTTGGACTTCTCAATAAAGATGGCAACGCGCCGTGGGATGAGCTCACAGTCGAACTCGATGCGCTGAGCGCGGGCGATGAACTTCCCGTCGCTGTTGTGACCTGCAGACACAGATCAGGAACCATAAACATCAACAGAAAAACAGACCAAATGATGAAAATCTGCTGCTTGAAGTCAACTCTGAAGGAATTCCAGCTCCATCATTACTGGGAAGGATTCCTACTGACGTTACTTCAGGAGTTTTCGTTCAGATCAGAGAAACGAAGCTCTGCGCTGCCCTCTACAGACCATTAACCGGAAGTGCATCTACTGGCTGTAGCCCTCTAAAGGCTGAAGGACCGTGGGGGGGGTCCTCCAGAGTCTCATCACATGCAGGTGAAGCTCCGGCGATTACGTTCTGGGTTTGATTCAAACCAGGCGTGTGAGATGGTGTTAGAACTAGTGATGCACTGATATGGAATATTTGGGCCGATACCGATATTAGCATCACCGTTATGGTCGATAACGGACAAACTGACACTAATGCTTCTAAATCAGCAGATTTCATATAGAAGGAAAATTACGAAAGCTGAATTTACGTTACTATGAACACACATTTACGCTTCTGAGACGATTACAATCAGTCACATGACTTCAAATTCACCCCCCCCCCGAAACAAATGAACAAATAGAAAAATATCGCTGTTAACATCAGCCCAGTTTTATTTATCGGACTAACATCTGCCGATACGGATCTTGATGCTGATATGCTGTGCATCCCTGGTGAGAACTCCTCCGGTGTTACCTAGCTGTCCGTACTCCGGGCAGCCGAAGGAGTACAGGTTTCCTTTACAGTCCACCACCATGCTGAACTCGGCGCCGCAGGCTAGCTTCACCAGGGGCTGGCCGTTGTAGGAAATCTGAAACGAGTCAAAAGCTCAGCGTCGAGCAGCAGCTTCTGAGCCTCAGCGCTGTCCGGATGCAGACGAGAGACTCACCGGTGCCGGGCTGAGGACAGCATCGGTCTGGCTGCCCTGGCCGAGCTGACCCAGTTTGTTCTCCCCAAAGGAGAAAACGGTACCGTCGTCTGGAGAGACAGAAACCGTTATTCAGAAGCTGCAGGATGATCGGAGACGAAGTCCGAGCTAAAACCAGCCACATCTCAGCTGAACCGAGTGTTTTTATGTTCATCAAGCTACAAAATGTTCAGAATCATTTCTGGACCTCGGGTCCTGACCCGGGCCCGGCCCACCTGTGAGTGCCAGCGTGTGATTGCGTCCGCAGGCGGCAGAAACAATCACCTGATCTGCCAGGCCCTCGATGACCTTCGGAGCCTCCAGACGTTTGGTGTCTCCGTGACCCAGCTGACCTTTGTCATTCCGACCTGTGGACGTAGGAAACAAATCCGGGTCATAGGGCCCGTTCCTCGGACGTGAAACCCTGATGGTACATCAGAACCGGCGTAACGGTGCAGCTTACCCCAGCTCCACAGCCGGCCCTCGGTGGTCATGAGGAGACTGTGTGCAGCGCACGGACCCGACACCACACAGCTCACCTGGATGTCGTTCAGACAGCCGTAACGGTGCGGACCCCACAGGTTCTGACCCAGGTTACGGAAAGCAGCTACACACACACACACACACACACACACACACGTGAAAGTTCAGAAAGATGTCAGGAAACACGGAGAAATTTAAACTATTCTGTGGAATGTTTGTGTAAATTTATTATAAATATCAAACCTGATTATCTTTGAACAACCTCAGTTTAGGAAAACAGAGATTACCAAACAAATGCGCTGACCACAATAAGGCCGTTATTAAAGCGTAACTAACTGGAACCGGAACCAGTGTGATTACCCGTCAGCTTATGTACTCGATTACAATCAGCTTCTCCAAACTGCTGCCTTTCAAAATGGCAGATAGGAGGTCATTTACTCAAACTTTCCACAGAAACCAAAGAAGTCCAGTTGCCTTCATTTGAACCCTTTTGGATGACCTTCACCAACACATTCCACAGAAACACACTCTAAAAGATCTGAACTATCACTTGTCTTGGCTTCACACCGACTGCTTGGACATGAAAATATTGTTGAAACGGGCTGAAAAATCTCCTAAAACCAGAACATCAAAAGCAAGTTTATCAGATTTATTACCTGAACGCTCGGAAACGTTCCACCCAAAAACTCCAGGAGTCATGCTGAACAGCACAAAGGATGACTGGGGTTCTGGTAGGAACCACATCTCACCCATCTTAGATGATCTTTGTCTTTGCAGCTGCTCCTTGCAGACACCTCCCCCACCCCCACCAACACCACCACCACCACAAATTCAGGCTCAACAAAGCAGATTTATCAGCGCAGGGCAGAGGAGTGCAGAAGGATGCAGCAGGGCAATGAGCAGCCCTGGCAATCGGACTGTCTGGACGGGGTGGGGGGTGCAGCATGCATGCATATGAATGGACATTACTGTCACGATCAATTAGCAGGATCCTGCTGGCTTTGACACGTGTGTAGGCTGCCAAACACACACACACACACACACACACACACACACACGTGCACACACACACGTGCACACAGCATGTGGCCTCCCAGCCTCTCCTCCAGACACAATGCGGGAACCCAATCAATCGTTTATTGATTCTGTCTGGTTCTGCAAGCTGCCGCACCTTATCTGTTCACCGCAGTGACCGGTTCAGGAAAACGCCGGAGCCGAAGACTCCTCACATCAGATCAGCAGCCAGACAAGCTAGTTCCTCTGATGCCAGAAAGTTCACGCGTGACTAGGTGCGTAAGTTTCTCACCTGGGTGATTTGGTCATGAACTGCTCAGATTAAGGGTGTTTCTCAACGTCAAGGCGCCTTGCTCACGAGGACACGGTCCTTCCTTGATCAAAGAAAACGGTTAAACGGAACAGACTTGCGTCATGTGACTGCGGCTTCCACGGCGGTCACGTAACGTCACGTGACACTAGGGTTGTTTCTTTTAAACTTGAAATTTGTCCCCGAAGTAGCTGCCGGCTTCTGATCCGCCATCCTTTTGAAAATACAGCGGTGTATTCTGGGTAATGTTTGAACAAGGCTAGGCTACAAGACACCTCCCGTGTATCATCGCTCAGCTAGCTAAACGGCTAACAAACGGAGAACACACGCCTCAGTAGAACATGAACATTTGAGCACGTCTTTGTGGTTCCTGATGACGTATCTCCTAGGCAACCGGGGCGGGGCCAAGGCATCAAGGCGAGGTTCCTTCACATTGAGAAACACCCCGTGTTAAACTTTACAACAACGAACAACAGGCTCGTATGCTTCAAACGGCCATTCGGATGCTTCCGGACTTAAACTTCTAGCATGTGATCAAATCAACATTTACATATTCTACCTTGTTGTTTGGGAACCTCCTTTCTTCCAATCAAATCCCAGTTAGTAGCTCCAAAGATGAGCAGCTGACCTTTCACCTTTGGTAACTCCAGTTTCTGCAGAAAAGGTGAAATAAAAGCTGTAAGCTAGCTCGACAGATGAAAGCCTCTGTGGTCCGGGTAGAGAAATCTCTTATTAGTGTTTTTATTTAGTCGTTAAAACAGAATCCAGTTTGGTCTGGATGGGAAACTTGACATGTAGAGAATTTATTTATCAGAAAGTAGATAAGAAAGCAAACTAAAGGGTCAGACTGTCCCCTCAGGAGGAGACCTCTAAAAAAAGGATTAAAAGTTAAGATTTGCATCATAATCAGGTCCAAAAAATTAATTAAAACTGCTGTCGTTTTCTTTCAGTAACTTTTGCAGCCAGAGAGCCAAGGTCACATCAGAGACAAAACAAAGACAGACAGCACATTTCTGACGGCTCCGTGAGCGCGATTCCAGGACAGAGCTCATCAAAACTCACAATTTTCTCTTTGACGTCATCCGCCACGGTGACGGGCTGCAGACCGGACTTGGCTGCAGGCCTGCCGGGTTTCTTGTTGTTCTCCTGCTCAAAGTCAAACTCATCATCGCTGCTGAAGTCTCTGTCTTTCCTTTTCCCAGTCGCCCTCTTCTTCTTCATCCCACCATTCCCAGAGACATCTGTCACCTTCTTACGTGGCATCGTTCCAGTCAGACGCTGGTTTTAGCGGAAGAGAAGAAACAATCAGGAAGAGTTCAAACAGAACAGTCACACACACACACACACACACACACACACACACACACACACACACACACACAAGGCCACGTAGTCTGCACAAAGGAGCTTTTTCTTGTCTTGGTGGCTGATGACAATAATCCCCACACAGTTTCTACAGGAAAACTAATAAAATCTGTATAAATCAGAATTAAGACACAAAATCTTACATGACTAGGTCTACAGGTGATGAAAAGGTGCAGGTGTAATGGAATCAACAGGACGTACAGGTGGAGTGAATACAGAGAAGAAAATGTGGATTATTTACATGAGTAAAAAGATTAAAATGAACAACAGGAAGGATGTTAGATGCGTTTAAGAAACTTTATGATTTTATATGTAAAAATATTTAGTTTGAGACACACCAGAGAACTTTCAACGGCAGAAAAACGTAAAATAAATTTTTTAAGAGTTAAACAGTAAACTAAAGTATAAAAATGACACTTGTTTATAAAACCTCCGTTAGTTCAGAGCTTGTTTAACACCAAATCCTACATTACAAGATGTAATCTACCAGTTAAGAATAAATAAAATGCGTTTTAGGACGGAAAAGCTGTTGAACTTTCGTATGAAAATTAGGAAAGATGCTTCACACACACGCCACCTAATACTAGAGTTCTGCGTTGGAACGCCATTGATAAATCCATAAACTCACAAATTTAAGCTGCTTTTAATTAAATTCGCTGTTTTTAAGTGCACGTTTTTAACTTTTTCCACCTGGAGTGCTGTGTGTGTGTGTTAGAAGTGGCTAAAACAAGTTTACTACACGTGATTTAACAGACCCGGGCTAAGTCTCTTTTTACATACCAGCTGTCAAAACGTTCCCAGTTTAATCCCACTCGCTCTTCCAGCGGCTGTCTGGCCGATAACCGGAGAAAAGTGGAGTCAGAACCCAAAAAGCTGACAGAAAAGTCAAACATCTGCCGGTGTGTAGCTGCTAGCTGGCTGTTAGCTCCAGCAGGCTAACCTCCGCTGCTCTTTGTTCGGGCGCTTCATTAGCATGCTAGCTGCCGTAAAAACCGTCGTGCGGTAGGAGGACTTAAGGGAGTTAGCCGCTAAACCAACGAGGTCTCCAAAGTTGGGATGATTTACATAAACTACCACAAATCTGCTCATATTCAAAGTAAACCTGAGTTAAAACTGTAAAGCGGCTGAATGATGGAGCTCATTATGCTAACGTTGCGTCGCTGCTCTATGCTAACAAACACATAAAGACGCCGACGCTACAAAAACGATGCTACAACAAACAAACTTTTTAAAATTAAAATTTCCCACCACACGACCTTCCGGTCCAATGTGGGGCTTATATCAGTGGTTTTATAGAAAAACATCATTTGTGATTTAATAAATCTAAAAATAAATGATATACCGGTGATTTCCTGATTCAGCAGCTCTCTGTCCGTCTCCGGTTTGATTGATGTGAACAAAAGAAGCTGCAGTCTGCGTTCGCACCACAAGGTCTGCGTTAGCATTCATACAGGAAACGTGCAGAGGCGGCCCGGAGGACGAGGTTCTGCTGAACACCATCAGCTCCTCAGCAGCAGAGTTCATAAGGCTGGAGTAAAGTTTTAAAAGTCTCACAAACATGTTGTTATTTACGTTTTCTGCTTCAACTCATCAGTGACATCTTCTGTGAGGATGTTATTTGTGAGGGATGGACGCAACATGTTCCGCTTCAACTACCTCACAACTGCTGAATGTACACAGAGCTGTTAAAATAGCCCAATCAGTAATTCATTCATTCATGTGGATTCATATGTTCACTCACATGTATCCTTAAAAACTAAACGAATGACAAAAACATCTTTCTTGTGTCACTTTTCAAGTGTTTTCATTCATGTCGGTTTTATTTGTGCAGCAGTTTAAAAACAACCAAAGCTGCAGGAACGCTGCTGTAAAGTAAAAGCAAGTGGACAAAAGTAAATCTACAAGCACAACGGTGAAGTGAACACTAATTAAAAGGTCTAAAAGTAACAACAAACATTTGAAATACAAAAAGACAAAACCCGACGAGAATGCACCAGTTCTGGTTTTAAAGGCCGATACCGATTTCTGATTCTTGAACGGCTCTGATCTTCTGATCCTGATTTATCTCCAAGAACTTTTATTAACACAATACTTTTCTGATAAAAATATTTGATTACCATTGGGTGCAGTCATGAACCAAGGGATAAATAACTCTGACTTCTGAGTTGGCCAGTTTCAATAACCTGTCAGTCTTTCGTGTATCTCTAATCCCAAAGTTTCCAAGGATCTCAGTAGGTCTGATATGTTGTTGAAACGTGAGAAAACAGCTAAAAATGATCCTCTGGATGACCCAACCAGTCACAAGGGACAAACTGGGGATCAAGACCTTTGTTCAGAACTAACTTAAAGAGCAAGTCACCCCCTACCACAGTATTACTCCACTCCCGCTTCCTGTTTCAAAAATGCAACAAATGCTGTTGCCTAGCAGACCGAGAGGGCGGAGCCGCTAACAAATACACACACACAGGCTCACAACGACATTGTGACATCACATGGTACCAGCTAACGTTCTAGGGTACCTCTTAGCCAATAGCGATGGCAAATTTAAATTCAAATGCAGTTCAGAGTTTTTACCTGACAACGGCACAACACTGACAGTTTTAGGCAGAAAATTAAAATTTTAACTAAAATGCACTAAAGTGCAAAACTATTGATGACACGTGTCTGCAGCACGATTAGACACACATTTATATAGTTTATCAGAAAAAAAGTTGATTTGGGGGTGACTTGCTCTTTAAGATCCCGTTTTTGGGGTCAAACACATAAAAATGTAACTTTCCAAATAACCACAGCTTAGATTTTAAAACCAAAAAGCTTCAGCTACATACAACAGAATGCAGACTAACCATTAGATTATTTAAATACATTTCAAAATTAAAAAACACAGCAACACTGAGAAGGTGAAAATTGTCTCTAAATCAAACCTAAATCTGTGTCTTTGCTTGGCTCATAGGATAGTTTGGTCACATTTGCTGGTTTGAACCAGGCAGTAGGTCCGGTTTAAGACCGCCACGCTGACTGGGTAGAGGACTCTCGTCTCCTCCCTGCAGACCCCCAACCATGGAGCCCAGGGTGCCGTAGCTGCCGCCGTACGGCTCCATCTGAGCCGCCACGCTCAGACCCAGTTTATCCACCCGAGGCATCTGTGGAGTTTGGCTCAGCGCTGCAGAAACCGGGGTGGTGGCGTTGTCACTGAGGCTCAGGACTGTACCAGAAGACTGCGAAGACAAGAAGGCATGACAGAAGTCCAGTCATTCACATACTTTTAAAAAGACAAGGAGACCGTTACAGAATATTTTACAGAAATGTGTGGCGAGTGGAGCCTCTTCCAGCAAATGTTCAGGTTTCACACATTACTGTTCACTGTGTGGGGTGTGCTGACATCTAGTGGCTAAAGTTGGAAATTACAACCAAAAGAAAAGAAACTACAATAACAGCATCATAATAAAAGCATGCAGGTTGCTGGCGTGGTTTGTGTGACGCGTTTGAAAGTCTTAATATCAGTAGAACAGATTTAAATGTTTAATGTTGGTTTTTGTCCTTTAGAGAGAGGCGATAGATGTGTGCAAAAGACATGATAAATACATTAACGCTGAGAGGAGAAAGTCTCGTGTTTATGCTTTCAACACTTCTAATGTAGCTTTGAAACTAACGTGATGAAACCACCTCACGTGTGGACCAGGCCAGCATCGACCCCTCAGCAGGGAGGAGGGGGAGGGAACTGTGGGTTTGTTTGCATTAATGGAGACCGGAACAGCATTTAAAAGCTGGAACTGGGACAACTCTTCTGATGCGGAGCGAAGCATCGTCAAAAATCACGGTCAACGGTCGGAAACAACAAAAACGCACGAACGCAGCTTCACTCACGTTTGCTACGGAGACCTGGCTGTTGGCCGCCATCTTTTTCTTTCTGGCCATGTTTGGATTCCAGTTGCAGACCAGACTGTCGTTCTGCACGCCGTAGTCTTTGTGGCCGATCAGCCAGTATGTGTTCATCTTGCCTTTACCCTGACAGGACAGCCGGGGACAGAAGTGGACAGGGGACAACATAGCTTGGACATTCTTACTTTATAACAATCTGATATTGAGACGCCTGAGAATTCAGTCGGCAGGTTAAAGGTCACAGCAAGAGGCTGGACGAGGGTGCTTGGGCAGCGTTTCAGGAGAAAACTCTTCCTCTTTTGTCTTCCATCTCCATTTTTAAAAAGTTTCAGGAAAAATAAAAAAGCTTTGGGGATTTTTTAAATGTATTTTTTTTTTTACCTTGACCTCGGTCTCTCCGCGTAGCTGCAGCTCGTAGGCGTTGTCTTTGATCAAAGCCAGGTACGTTTCTGAGCTGGCGTGTATTTTTTGAGCTGAAACAACAAAACAAACATGAAAGCAATGGTACTAAAACGTGTTTGACCCACATCATCATCATCATCGTTGTCCTTGTTGGTGAGGACGTACGCAGGCTGGTGGACTCCATCCTGGAGGCTGTGTTGACCGTGTCTCCAAACAAACAGTATCTGGGCATCTTGTGTCCCACAATCCCAGCCACACACGGACCTGAGGAGCAAAAGTTGGACCTCACTTAGGACCAGAAGGGTAAACAGTCAGTAAACAGGACAACAGGACTGGAGAAGACGCTGGAGATCATGTCTCCTTTAGACGATTCCTAAAACTAAATTCCTGATTTGCTCCGCCTCCCCGCTCACCCGTGTGAATGCCGGCTCGGAGCTGCAGCCTCTCCTTTGGCATGTGAGGGATGACCACCTGTTTGACTGCCGCCAGCAGATCCAGCGCCATCTTGGCAATTTCGTCGGCGTGTCGGTCACCATTCCTCTCAGGAAGACCGCTCACCACCATGTAGGCGTCACCGATGGTCTCCACCTGGCCGGAGTCAGACCGGGTTACAGGCACAGCCAGCACCTGGGGGCACCTGGGAGCGTTTGTGTTACCTTGTAGACATCGTAGGACTCGATGCGAGTGTCGAAGCACATGTACAGGTTGTTGAGCATCTCCACCACTTGTAGGGGGGTGCAGGACGCGGAGATCGAAGTGAAGCCAACGATGTCTGAGAAAAAAATAGTCACCTGCAAACGAGATGGAGGAGAGTATCTGATCCAGGTGTGAAAACACAGAACAGGCGAGGAAAAGATAGAGAAGGAGATCAGATTTATTATGTTTGGAACCAGTTTAGAACAAGATCCTGCATCCTCCAGGGTGGAGGGCCCATAAGGTGAGGAGCTCCATGACTGGAGCAGAGCTGCTGCTCCTCCTGATGGAGGGGAGCCAGCTGAGGTGCTTCTGCCAACTGACTAGGCCTCCTGGAGGTTTTCAGAGGTCTGGGGCCAGATGCAATACTTGTTGGAGAGATTATGTATCCCCTGGCCTCGGATCTCCTTTGGATCGTCCAGGTCGAGCTGGAGTGTGTCTCTGAGGAGAATAAGGTCTGGGTTTCCCTCCCAGATCCGATCCGATCCCTCCTCCTAGGTTTTAATTCAGGAAAATGCAGACGAGTCTGCCTGTCCGGGCCAGGTGATGTTTTATTCTGTTTAGCTGTCACGAAGATTTAAAATCACAGACATGATCCAGGACATTCTCGGGTACCTCTTTCTGCTACGGTGTCTTCACCGGACCAACCGGGAGCTCCTGGCGCTGCCGGGGGTTGAATAAAGCTGTAAGATCCGACCCAACGTGTGCGCTTGCTGCCTTTGTTGCTATTGTTGGCGTAATTACCTGTAATTACCCTGTTCCATATTCACGAGGAGATAAAACGAGTGCAGGGCTGGAACTGCTTCTGGTTTACTGAAGAGGGCCGGAGCAGCTGGACCAGACGTGTGACCGGCTAGCAGAACCCAGAAACGCCCGGAAGTTTAAACCGGGGGAAATGGTTTCTGTCAGCGCCTGACGCCACCGGGAAAAGATGTGTGATCATGCTTTTGCCAGACTTTTACACGCCTGTGCTCTCTAGTGAAACAAATCACTGGCAGATCTACAGCCGCTCGGCTTCGGGAGTCAGCCTGGCCGCCACAGCTGAGCTACAGCAATCAGAAGGGTTAGGCGATGGGAATTCCTTAAGGAATGGTGGGATTTTAGTTTATTTCCTGAGTTCTTCTTCTGCCCCTGTGGGTGTGTCCCTTCAGGTGTCTCTACAGCCAATCATCTGTCTCCATGTAGTCCTAACTCCTGCATCCTACATCATGTCCTCTTTCACCTTGTTGGTGTTCTTCTCAGCCTCCTGCCTGGTGGCTCCAACCTCAGCGTCCTCCTACCCATGCCATCGTTGTCTCTCATCTGGACATGTCCAAACCGCCTCCGTCTTTCCTCCCTGACATCATCTCCAGAACATCTAACATGAGCTGTCCCTCTGATGGACTCAGGGTCAGGTTTCCTCTCAGCTGGGTTTAGTCTCGAACCTCAGAGCTCCTTCCTGATGGACCTAGTTTCTTCCATCTTACCTTCTCGTAGCTCTCTGCTTCCACATGCTTGTGCTTCCTGAGCTGCTTGGCCACTGACTTTGGTAACATCTGGTGCAGCAGATCTTCAGCCAGCTGCCTTTGGCGCTTCAGGTCCTCTGTCTTCTCCTTCAAGCTCTGGGCATAGTTTTGGATCCACTCCGTCATCTGCTTGAAGGAGAACATCCCGACGGGGTAGATGAGGCAGGCCACGGCCAGCAGGCAGATCCTCACACTGAGGCTCGATGACAAGGACCGAGACGCCAGCCAGAGAGCCGAGGACGCACGGCTGAACAGGCAGCGCTGAGTGTTTGTCAGAACCCGAAGTCCTGGGCCAGATCCAGACAGCAGCCCACTTCCTGTTCTAGACATCTGCCACCGACTCATGTCAAAGACACGAGGATCCTGAGCCTCCAGGCTGGAGTTCATCTGGACCTCTACGTTCTCCAACCAGCAGTCGTCGAGTCGCTCTGCCATGAGCCTGGAGAAGCTCAGGTAACTCAGGGTGTGAGTCCACCTGAGCTGGAAACCAGAAGGAGGCACCATGAGGTGGGAGAACATCAACTGGTGGTTGAGTTCTATGAAGGTCAGCAGAACTCTTGCAGACAGAACATCTCTCCAGTTCGAGTTCTGTTTGGCTTTCACCAGAGAGTCTTCTACTGAACCCCAGATGGTGAGAAGTCTCTGGATGGCCTCGGTCAGAGCCAGACCTCTGCTGTTAGCATCTAATGACATGTTCAGAAGCTCTCTGATGGTCCCCGTCGTCTCCTGACAAGATCCAGACGTGCTGCATGGAAGCCCACGGCCGTCACAGTGATTCTCCACGTCTCCACAGGGATGATCCAGAGCTGCAAAACTGGTCTCCAGAGTCTCATTGTTCGTGTCTTTAGCTAATAAATGTCTGATCTGCTGAAGTTTACTGACAAGGTGCAGGATGGTTATGGTCCTGCAGGACGTCAGCTCATCATAAGCCGCCTCTGTTGCATGCAGAAGGTCAAAGTTGGAGCTGAGGTCCACAGACACGGAGCCGAATAGAGCAAGCAAGGAGAGGGTGCAGGCAGTCAGAATCCGCCGGACCGTCCTGCTGCAGCCAGAAAGAGGAACTATGGAGCACCTGGAAAAGGAGAACATCTGCTCACAACCCAGCGTTGGGACAAAAACACAGAGTGTATAAACCTCATTAGGGGTACCCCCCCCCCCCCCCCCACACACACACGCACACGCGCACACCTGCACAGCTCGCTGTCCGCATCCTTCTGCGCTCCCGGTGCGACTCTCCTCTTCCTCCGCAAGAACCTCCGTTTGAGGGAAGCCGAGGACAAAGTCCCTGGGGATCGCTGCTTTTTCAGCGCTGACATCAGAACCGACCTGCAGCAGAACCGCCTCAGACTGTTTGTCGGCAGTGGGTGACGGTCCCACTTCTGTCTGCCAGCACCGACTGCCTTTCAACATCCGGTTGGTTTATTAAACTCATAATATAATCAGGATGTTTTTATGGGAATAAAATAGTTGTTCGGTTTATGCTTCAGGCCAAAATGGTTGAAATCACTATTTCTTTTTGCTGCTGAAATTTTTAGAAGTTTTTTTATTATTCTGTATAATAAAACATTTGTTTTACTTTTCAACGCGTACCCCTGTTACTACCAGGTTACTACACAAAAAAAAAAAAATTGATTTGAAACTCATTGAGATTTATTTTGAAAGTATGTCTGAACCGGAAGCGCTCTTAGTTTTAAATGGTAACGTCCTAAAGATTAAACCCAGGAGAACACATGGCTTAATATGCTTACACCATTCATTTAAAAATCTCTAAGAAGTTAAAAAGCAACGTGCTCTCGTGACACCTGGAGTTTTATTTGATGTGAAGGCTATTTGAGAGGACATCTCTTGAACAGTAAATAAATAAATACGTAGCACATTTAAGGTTAAAGTCCTGTAATTAATATCAGGTTTAAACTCAAAATCGTCATCACTTCATTCGATTCATTCACTCATCCATTTATTGGAGCCGCCGTGAAGGTTGCCAGAGTGTTATTTCCCCCTGCAGCTGTTTGTGCGCCTCTGTAAAGCTAGCTCACGTTTAATATCATAACTTTGTTTTATTTTCAAAATAAATGCAACAAGCTGGTAAACGCGTGGCTGAATTGAGCGCTGTTGGATAAGTCTTGCTTTTATTTTGAAGCCACCACATCGGAAGTGGTTATGGACAGTTTTGCTAGCTGGCTAGCAGAAACGTGTTGTTTGTATTGGATCAGTCTCGCGCTGCTCGTACGGAGGACGGTGAAACATGGTGAAGATATGAACGCGTTACTAACTTTGCGCGTGTAGCAGCGGCGTGGCTCGTTTTGGTGGTTAAACGTTTATCTGACCGGCCCCTCGCCGAGCCCGGGCCCCGGCGCACGGAGCGCTGAAGCAAATGAAAGCGTTGTTTGGTTTCGAGCCGCCGAACAAAGAGCTTTTCTTCCCTCAACCATTGTTTCCGAGCGGGACGCCTCAAACTGGTTCCGACGTGGTTTCGGACGGTTAAAGTAAGCCGACTGCTCAAGTCGAAGAGCAAAAGTTCTTTCCAGAAACTAAAACCAGCTCTGGAGGTTTTTATTCACGTTAGCGATACTAGAAATAGTCATAAACATGTTATTTTATAAAGAGCTATAAAAAATAACCTAACGACTAAATACCGATTAGTACTAATAGCTGGACTTTAGACACTGTGTGTTTCATAGATAGATTCGTTATTTAAACGTTTACTTGAATATATTAACCGTTCTGAGCAGGCTGCGTGTTTGTGGAGCGCCAGGCTTTATTCTGAAACTGGTCAGTTTAGTTAAATTTTGTCCTTTGCTCCAATAAATCACCACATACAGCCCAGATTTAAAGTAATTATGATATATTATGTGTTTCTCTTTATATCGGCTTAATTTGTAACGCCAGATTAGGTGTCATCAGCATAAACAAAAACAACTTTGTTTTTAAAGTGCAGCTAAATGTCAACATGAAAGGTCAGATTTGAAAGGCTAAAAGTGACTAAAACAGTATAAAAGCAGCCAAAGTTCAAAGAATCAGTCTGGATCCATCCGTGCCAAACCCAGAAGGGCCGCAGGTCAGACAGAGTTGGAGTTAACTCTTCCAACCTGCCACCTTCCTGTTGTTTACATCCTCTGCGAATGTGAAAAGCCTTCAGACCCACATGTTGTTGTTGTTGTGTTGACAGGTGAGGGGCGGCCTGTGCTCCAGTCATGACCCCTGGGAATGGGAACACTCACAGCAGCCAAGACAACAGAGAGAGCAAAGCAGCCCAGCAGGCGATAGACACGTCCCACATCCTCACCCACCTGATCGAAGGCTTTGTGATCCAGGAAGGTGCCGAGCCATTTCCTGTGAGAGTCTTTTATGAATCTGAGAAACACTGATTTTACTGTTCTTTTGTAATTGTAGTTGAAGGTCAGAAATGGCCTGTGGGTGACACTTTAAACCAAGGGCGCCCCCAAGGGGTGGCCAGGGGTGGCCATGGCCACCCCTAGTAAATTGCTGCAACAACCAGAAACATTGAGTTTCTTTACGTCTTCGTCCATCATCATCTCTTTTCCGTTGTGCAGGTGGAGCGTCCGTCCTTCTCCATAGAGAGTCTCAGGAGACGCACGGCAGACGTAAAGATGGACGGTCGTTCATCAAAGTGTAAAGGTTTGACGGCTTGTTGTTTTGTTTGTAAGAGTTTTGTCCTGACGAGGAGCTGATTCTGTTGGTTTTTCCTCCATGACACTTCCAGAAGGCTTCAGCGTGTTTTTAACTGGCATGTTTCCCGTTTCAGTCACACTTTACTGGTGTTTGTTTATTCCAGGATTCGTTTTAAATGTTTTTGCTGTCAGAAGACTTGGTTTAGGTCGTCTTTGTTATTGTGCCCCTCAGACGTACCGGCCCAGCAGGAGCCCATGCTGACCTGTGAACTCTGTGGGAAGGTGGACTTTGCCTACATCTTCAAAAGGTCCAAGAGGTTCTGCTCTACAGTCTGCGCTAAACGGTGAGGCAGCTTTCGTCCCCGGAAGTTCTGGTTCTGATCAGACTCCCTTATAGGTCTGATCTGTAAAAACTTGGGACGAGTGTGTCTCACGGCTCAGGTGTGTAAATCTTCCTGTAGCTACAATGTGGGATGCACAAAGAGAATGGGTCTCTTCCCAAACCGTAAAACCACCCTGGAGAACCTGAAGAGGCAAAGAGTCCTGAACGGAACCCACAAAGACTCCAGCGTGGACCTGAAAAAGAGGGTGAAGAGTCTGGGGCTTTTAATTTGAAATTCAAACTAAGTATTTTTTTAAATAAACCTGATAAAAGCAAAGATGATAAAAATAACACCGTTCTGCTTTTCAGACCCCGCCCTCCTTGCAGAAACCCGTGGCTGCTGCGGCGCCATCTGCTGGCCACTCTGTGCACCCCGCTCAGGGGGAGTCCAGTCAGTGTTCGGACCTGTCGGGCTATAGGAGAACCCCGTCTCCGCTGTTGCCCTCCCAGGTCCAGAGGCAGACCCCTGATCTGCCCCTGCTACCCCACAGCTTCCTGCCCAGCGGCCCGGGGCTGTGGAACATCGAAGATGTCTACGAGTTCATCTCCACCCTGCCAGGTGGGTCCCGCCGCCCTGTGCAGGTCGCCGTGGTGACAGGATGGGGATAAAAACAACAGCTTCCTAAATTTTCCCAGCTGTGAACTCCCAACAGAACTTGTTCCGTTTGTCCCGATCCAAATTGGTAAAGCTGAATTGTTCCCACATAAACTCCAGAACACAGCAGAGTTACAGCTGGGTTTTCAAAGTAAAACCTCGTCTTCTTCTGCCTGGTTTTCAAAATAAAATCACCCTCTGAAGTGTTTATAGGTTAGGAAATCTGTCATGTTTACATTTTTACTATGAAATCACGATTTACTCACCTAAAGGTGGATTTTTTTTACCGACGGCTTTAACAACACCAACGCTCTCATCCATCATGGCGACCGCCGCCGTTGTCTGATGGCTGTCGTCGATCTGATTTTGGCTGCAGGTTGTTTGGAGATCGCAGAGGAATTCCGCTCCCAGGAAATCGATGGACAGGCGCTCCTGCTGCTGAAGGAGGACCATCTCATGGGAACCATGAACATCAAACTGGGCCCAGCTCTGAAAATCTTTGCTCAGATCAGCCTGCTGAAGGACTGGTAGTTCATCTCACTCGGACTTCCTCTGATGGCAGCGCCGCGGCGTTCCGGCGCCACTCACTCAGGATCTTTGGATTTTCATCCAGACTGGCTGACTTCAAGGACCGAGACTCTTCAGCTCACCTTACAGTTTCAGGAAAATTCGAGTCCGTGTTTGGATACGCGTGGACGTACGTATGTAGGCACGTAGTTTCTTAGGTAGGATTCCTTCCTGCTCCGGGTCAGATCCGGGTTTCTTTATAAGGTCAGAGGTCATTGTGCATACAGAATCATGCTGAGGACAAACCAATGTCCCACGATGCACATCTAGACCAGACCGCAAACAGGACGTGATGGTCCTGAAGAACGTCTCCTGCTTTAGCTTCTGATAGAAAACAGACGGTGAAACTCTAGGATTAGAAAAGCCTGACAGGTCTACGTCACCCTGTCACTAACATTCATGGACTCACCCATCTGGACTCACGACGGGGAAGGCTGTTGTTGGTTTAGCGTCCAGGAAACGGCTGAGAACGTCTCACTTAGTAGAAGCTAACATTAGCATTAGCAACTCCACCACACAGCAGAACTCCTCCAGGCTTGTGTTATTTGTGGAGATAAAACATCAACGTAGCAGAGCAAACAGAGTCAGTGGTAGTCGTGTTGCTGTTAGCCAATCAGAGGAGAGATGTCCAGATATCAGGAAGCAAGATTCCAGATTCAAGAGGGGCGGTAAATATGTTTTTCTCAAACATCCGTTAAAATCATTTGAGTGTAGGTAGTGTGTGTGTGTGTGTGTGTGTGTGTGTGGGGGGGGGGGGGGGCTCTGACCTGAGACAGGCAGATCTGCTACGGGAGCCTGGCGGGATGCTGGAAACCAGGACAGGCAGCATCGTTTGGTTCTGATCCCGTTTAAAATCCACATTCACTCCAGATGCGGTTAGGATCAGATTCAGAGCATTCACACCGGCCGCGGTGCAAATCTGCACGAGTCTCATTCTTCATATTTAGCCGGAGTTTGGTTTTGTTTTTAATGACAAACATCGATTCATCGTATTTTTAAAGTTGATTATGTCGGAGTTGTAGTTGTGGGAGCAGAGATCTGGAGACACTCGGAACACAGACCCGTCTGTCTGATCTGCTGACAGACGGGTCCTGCTGGGTGTCTCTCTGACCCGATGTGGAACCTAGCGGTCCTGGATCAGAACCTCTGGTTAAAACATTACTTCACAGAATAGATTATTTAGATTTGGGCTGAGTGGAGGAGTTCTGTTCTGATGGAGGTGGCGGGTCATACATCCGGTCCGTTTGGATCCAAACGGACTCTTTAGGACCAAATCGTTCTCCTAAACCCGACCTGGGCTTGTTCCTGGAACCATGCAGTCCAAACCTGGCCTGAACTACTGGAGCATTACTGTTAATAGTCAGAACCACTGATAGAACCTCGGACCACGAGATGGGTCTGAACAGGGTCAGGAGGACTCTGATCTGCAGTGACACAACTCGTGACTTACTGGTTCTGATCCACCTTGTCGTAATGGCAATGGGACCGATGGGGAACAACGTTCCTACGGGAGAACCACAATCCCAGATCTCAGTTTGGGTCGGATGAAAAATCTCATCATTCTCTTTGCTGTTAAATCAGTTTCACTGTAAAGGTTCTGGTGCAGCTCTGGACCGGGTCAAGCCGACCCAAACACACTTGTCTCTTTGCACACAGAAAGTGACTGACAGAAAAAAGTGCCTGGAAACGCAGCAGCAGAACCAGGAGCCCGTTGGTTCGGTCCAAACCAAAGAGAACCGAGCCAGAACCGCTCTGCTGCCTTAAACGGGATCATCGGGCCTTTTTGGCCTTTTTTTCCACACAGAAAAGTTCTTTTTAATAAAAGATTAGATGTTTATCTGTTTCAGGTTTTTATTCGATCAGATTCCAACAAACAACAAACAAAAATTCACAAGAATTCCACGATTCATTCCCAAAAAAACCAAACTCCAAATTTCTATTTCGCTTCGGTTTCGACGAAACATCCAAGTGAGAATCTGAATGTTTTACCAGCGACTCAATAAATGACCTCCTTTCTTCATTAAGGCACTCAGTAGTTCACATTAGAGAGGACTGACCAATCAGCTGAAGCGTGTTCATGAGCCTGATTTATAACGATCGCCAGCTCAACCTCCGCAGGGCCGGAAATAAGGATGCTCTTATTCTGAAAAACCCAACAGCTGATGCTGAAATCAAAACGGAAAAAGGAAGAAAATCAGTAAATTCTCATTATTTACACAAACTCCGGAGCGTTCCCGGTCCGGGTCGTCCGACCCTGATGCTCCTCTCCGGTCTCTGGTGGCTGAATAAGAAAAACAACAAAGGCAGGTTGGTTCTGGACAGAAACTGGATCCAAACTTCGTACCTGAGACGGCGTCGACCGACGACTCGCCGGGTTTCCTGAAGCGCCTTCAATGATCCAGAATTCCTGCGCTCATTTCTCCAGACTGAATTAAAGGAACTTTTTCACCAATAACGTCTGGTACAGAGAACACGCACTCAACCTCAGTTTGGAGAAACGGAGACTAACTGATCAGATTGATGAGCTAACAGCTAGTCAGAGTGGCACCAGTAGCCAAACATCTGCGGTCAAAATCACCTTTATTATTTTATAATCACTAATAATTGAATGGTTATTGGTTGGCAGCGGGAGCTACTGCCGGGATTACGTATTAATCCTGCGGGAATAATAAAAACAGCCTGCCGTGGTTTTCTCCCTCCAGAGGATCTGAACCGTCACAAAGTCGAGCGGCTGAAGCAGCTCTCTGGTTTTATCTGCTGGAGTTTAGTTTTTCCTTCACTTGTTGAGTTGTATCCGGCGTTCCGAGGACGGCGTGGCGGGAATCGCTGGTCTTTGACGAGCCCAGCAGTCAGACACGAAACTAAACCACCTTTGGACACGGGAGTTTCGTCAAGCCCAACGTTTCCTACGCGAGGACAGCACGGAGGTTCTCACACAAGTTGATCCTTTTTATAATTTGTTACATTTAGAGAAAAATAAGATCTTCCCCCTTTGATTCATGTCAAAAACTCCTTTAAACACCATTTTTCCACCAAAGCCAGATATCCAGGTGTCCTACTGGTGGAAGGACGAATCTGGTGTTAGATTACAGCCGAGTGTCGACAGACGGGAATAATTAGGGATTTAACGGAATTGTCGTTCCAACGCCGCAGAAGATCATCGACAGCAGGATTGGGAATCAGGTCATTCAGGATGTTATTCCCGGGAAAGGTGCAGGTGGTTAAACATGCAACAGCAGCAGACCCCCCCCCCCCCCCCCATGTTAATGCATCCACATGCGCTGCAACAGAGCTTAAGGAGCATCCAAGGAGTCGCAGGAGCCGTCCTCACGTTTCCCGAAGACCTGGTGGAGTCAGAGGGGGGAGGTTAGAGCTGTGGATGGGGGCGGCTGCCATCACCTCACCACCACCCACAGGTGAGACAGACATGCTGAGGAGGAAGGAGGCAAGGCTGCACGTTTGTTGTTCATTTAATTAATTAGGTGATTTCATAGAAAACATGAAAAAGTCAGAAAACAGAAAGAGCAGAAACAGCCTGCAGGCAGAGAAACGACAACATTCATCCTGCAGCTCGCTCCAATCGGACCGCCGAGGCTCGGTCGGACTCGTTTCATCCTCCTCAGAAACACCAGGAACACAAATGGCTCACATAAACACCTTTTCATCTGGTTTCTGCTCGCTTAGCGCGGTGAAAACTGCTGGTTTTCATCAGCTTCTACCTGGATGAGTTAAGGCCAAAAATCAGAAACTTGTTTGAATAAAGTTAGATGTTTTACGTTTAAAGCTGCTGAGCGGAGTTCTGCAGAACGGTCTCCTCGAAGAGCATCTCTGAGTGTCTAAACACACTGAATCTGTAGCTGAAAAACCCAAATCCTCCCTCGTCTGGAGACTGTTTAAAAATATACAAAAGGACCAGATCATGGCTGAGTGTGACAGAAAACCGGGACAAAGCAGACAGAATAAACCACGTTTTTACCTCTAAACATGTGGTGAACGTAAGGATCAAAGACAAGCTGAGCTGTGAAGGTGAGAAACAGCAAAACAAAATCAAAGTCATTCATTTCTAACTAAAAAAGGAACACTTGTGCTCGTTTTCCTCCCACCCGGGTCAGCTCCAGGTTACATTCAGCCACGGGTGAACGGGTCTGACTGGGTTTTCTGCAGCTTTCAGCTCAAAGCTGATGTTTTCAAATCCCACACACAAGGATGTGGAATCATTTGGGAAAAAGGAAAAGGAAAGGTGTGCAAGGCTGCTGACCCACTCCAGACGTGAGACGGAAAATGAGAGTTCTGGCAGAGCCTGGCAGAGAGCCGACAGAGGAGACGTTTGCACACAGAGGACGTCACACGGAGGTTTATACCTTGCTCCTGAAGAGGGGCTTGGCCCCGGGGCCGCAGTACTCGTTGTAAATCAGCTTGAAGAGGAAGAGGTGGAAGAGCGTGATGAGCGACGCCACGCTGAACCAGAACAGGAAGGGCAGACCCGGGTACCTGTTGGCCATGTGCTCCTCGTGGGCCAGGATAGCTTTGAGGTGCAGGGTGTGACGGAGGTCCTGCAGGTGGCGCAGGTCGGTGGAGATGTAGAGCAGCGGCGTGATGGGCTGAGTCACCATGATGGGGAATGTGTGACCTTTGACCTCTGACGTCAGCTCGACAGGCTCGTTGAGGCAGCCGGCCTCGCAGGCGTACAGCTTCACCGCCGTCTCCTGCTGCTTCACCGAGACGTGGAGGAAGGGTTTTCCGTCGGGGTCCAGCAGCACCGCCAGGTTGATCAGGTCCTGGTTGTAGTGGATCCCTCTCAGGGAGTAGCTGTTGTGCAGCACATCCGGGTCGGCCTGGAACTGAAGGTGGTTCTCCGTGAACTGGAGGCCACCGAAGCTGAGCACCATGCCCTGCATGGCCCCGTGGGCGCCGGTAGCCACCAGGACCTTGCAGCCTCTTTTCTGCAGCGTCAGAGTCCACAAGGTGACCAGCTGAAGGATCTGAGCGGTGCTGCTCACCCTGTCGGGCCACAGGTTCTCAGCGTGCATGGTGGCGTGGCCGCTGAAGCAGTGGTCGGCGTAGTTCAGGCTGGACTCCAGACGAGCTCGATCCTCACTGGCCAGCCGGTTGTCCAGCAGGGGCGCCGTGGTGGCGGACAGGATGTAGTAAAGGGTGGTGTTCACCGTACGGCTGGACGGGGTGTGGGAGTCCGTGATCCTCCTCATTTCAACACCTTTCATCAACACAATAACAAAACATCATCCAGTCAGTGATGGTATTCACACATCAGAGCTTCAAGTCAGACGGAATCTACAGGAAGCTGACGGTCCCGCCACCAGAAGACCCACGGCGCCGCTCAGAGACATCAGCATCTGAGCCCCGCGGTTGGTGAACGGTGCAAATCAACACCAAATTTCTTTTCTACCCGTCCTCCGTTACAAACTCAACACAAGGAGTAAGGAGTTTGTGTTTGGTTGATTACATCTTACTGAGGAACCTCACACACCTGTGACAGGAGAACACCTGGCTGCACTCAAAGCTCCAAACCGAGGACTGGAGCACGTATTCAACGGCATCTAATCACGTGTTTAGCTGTGCTGCTCATTCCAAGGATGTAGGATCCTTGGAATTTCTGTGTAATCAGGCATTCCAGTCATATCAGATTTATCGCCAAGGAGCTTGGAAATTATCATCCAGACACTTTGTTACTCCTACCACTGGGTTTGTGTTTAAAGCCGCTTTGACCAGATGCTCTATCTGAAGATCTGTGTCACCGTAACTCCGGCTGGTTTGTTTTGGAAGAATGACTCAGAGGTCAGGGCTAAATTAGAAAGCATTCCTCTGAAAATGTTCCAGTTCCAGGAAAAAAAAACTGGGAGGAAAAGCAGCAAAAGTCTGGATGACCTTCAGAGGGTCAGGAGAACCGTTGATCCAGAACCGCTTTAGACAATTACAGCTCAGTCTGACTGACAGGAAGGAAAATACAAAATATGGTTAAAATTATGAGTCCAGCTGTGGCTCACCTGAAATGAACAGGTCCATCCAGGCCTTCTGGTGATCCAGAACAAGGTTGGCGACATCAGTCCTCAGCAGCTCCTCCATCTCCTTCTTGGCTCCATCTCGGAGGGTGCTGAAGGTCTCCTCCAGCTTGGAAGGATCAATGGGTTGTGAGGTCCACACCACGGACAGGACACTGTCTGAATACTCAGATTTGGCCTGGACCTGGACCCTGATGGTGGGCTTTCTGGTCACCACCACCACCAGCACCATCTGGTTCTCCACCGCCACCCTGCCGGAGGATAGCTCCACCTCTCGGTTCTCCAAGGTCTCCACACTGGTGGAGAACTTGCTCCTGTGGGTCGGGTTGTCGGAGGTGATGTCCAGGGTGACGGTTCTGTCTGAGGGGTTGCTCACGTGGATTCGCTGCAGGTACACGTTGGGTCTGCTCCGGTGGGCCATGAATTCCTCCCGAATAGCAACGCAGTCCCGGGAGGACTGCGCCGCGGCCGTTAAAACGCAGCGGACTGACAGCACGGCTCCCTTCCGGAACCACAGCATGCTGGCCCGGGCCACAGCCCGCTCGCCGTCCAGATTAACTCCCATCCTCGGGGAGAATTCGGTCTGGAGAACCGGAGCCGAGCCGGGCTGCGGAGCCGAAGACACCCACAGCCTGTTAGAGTCGACGTCGATCAATATGTGTCCATTACCGGACACAAAAGGCGTGTCCAGCGGTTCCTCCGGTGACCTGTAGACCCCCTCTCCCCGTTCTACGATGGACCTCCACCTGTGGATCTCGGTCTGGAGACACTGTCCCACCGCGCCTCCGTGCAGGGACGGGCCGCCCAGGAACGTCCACCTGCCGCCCGCTCCCAGGTACCAGTAGAAGATGAGGAGGAGGAGCACCCCGATGAGGACCCTCCTTGCCCAGCTGCTGGATAACAACCCCGGGAGCCCCTTCAGTCTCTGCTGCAGCCACATTTTGTGATAGAACAACGGAAGCCCACCTAAGCGTCTGCGTCTCAACACGGCACCCAGGGTGCTGCTGAGGTCAGCTAATGAGTCACATCAAGTTTAGTTATCAGTGTCTACCGCAAACAGGAAACCCAAAGATGTCACATGGGGTTAATGATCCGTTTCCGGCATGAGAAGGGAGATTTGAGGTGTTACATTAAGTTTAGTCCACAGTTTCTCCCGCGGAGAAGTGCATTTAAAACGTTACATCGAGTCTAGTTACAGGGTCCACCGAGGACAGTAGCCTAGCTAAGCAGCTAACACTGATATCGAATTCTGTCGAAAATACGCTTCCCGCCTCGTTTTTATCTTCATTTACCGAGTTGGACGTGTGCGACGCAGATCGCTGCTTTAACTCAGAAAGTATTTAGTTTCCTTTGATGGGTTTTCGAGTAAAACAAAAATCGCCTGACTTCTTAGTGGACTTTTGTCGGCTGACACTTCTGGTTTGGTTCGTCTTGCTCTTTGTTTAAATGGCAGCTGGACATGAACGTGCTGTCAGACCTCTGCCCCCTACTGGGCAGGAGTAAAACTACACCAAAGAAGTCTGTTTACACATGCTGAGAAACAGTCGTTTTCTAATGGTGATGTGCCCTGTGACCACAAAACATCCATATTTATTTATTTATTTATTTATTTATTTATTTATTTATTTATTTATTTATTTATTTATTTATCATGTTAAAGTCTCCAAAACAAATGAAATGACCAATGTCGAATAGTCCTTAGGAAAGACACTGAACCCAAGTCGCCTGTTTGATCTGTGAATTGTGAGTGTCTGTGAGCGAGTGGGTGAGTGTGACTTTATGAAGAGGCACCTGCAGTGATAACTAAGTTTCACTTATCTCTGACATAATTTTGAGAGGACCTTTAGTCTTCTGAGAAGGATTGAAGCAGAAGACTCTGATGGTCACACAGGATTTTAGTGTAATGATTTAGGCATATTGGGAGTCATTTTTTTGGAACATTTCCTTTTATGAACGCATAATCATTAGTTTTCAGACATGTAGCTTTTATTTTTGTCCTCTACTTGTTTACCCTTTTTGTATAAAATCACTACATAAATAAAATGTTCATGTTTCATTTCTTTATGTGTGCAATTTTTCCGTCACAGATGCATCTGATCCCATCTGGACTGAAAATGATAACACTTATATCTCCTTAGTGCTTTTTTTATACAGAAGGATGTGTTTTTGTGAATAATTTTGGCTTTTCTAATGCAATTTATCAAAAAATGTTGGGAGGATGTGTATTTTGGGGGAATTACCAAAAACAATTAGAAAAATTGCTGTACTTCCTTGATATACAATTCCGGGCCTGGAGAACACCTGTTATCCAACACGTTTTGGTTTAATCCTGATTTCAATCAGTAGGTGATTAACAGGCTTCTGCAGAACCTGATGGAGCTGCGGCACAGGTGATTCAACCACTGAATTACGTGTGTTGGAGCAGAGAAACAACTAAAACGTGCTGTACACCGGCCCCCCAGGCCCTTGAATAGCTCTGTAAAGGTTAAATCACATTATAACGTTAAGCCCTTGCTGCATTTTTTATTTTATTTTTTTGCTCTATTGACTGAAGCCGAGCATGGAATTAATGTAAAACTGAACTTCTGAAGTATTATATAATATTTCTACAGGAAGTTTTGGTTCAGCACGAAGAGGAGAAACGTGAGGGTTAAACATCCAAAGATCTGGAAACTTCCTTAAAATGCAAAAAAAATCTGAGTGTGTGTGTGTGTGTGTGTGTGTGTGTGTGTGTGTGTGAAGGGGAGCGCGTCTACGTGCTGGGACTCATGTCCTCCGGTTCGGTCCATGTTCTCCATCCCACCCATCCACGGAGGGCGTTTCATTCCCAGGTTAACCCACCGATGAACTCAGCCATCCAGACCGTTATGAACGCATCACAAGGAGTTCATTCATAAGGGAGGAGGAGAGGAAGAGTTTTGTCGGAGTTCGGCTGTCCGGTCCGGTCCGGTCCCGGGGTTCTGCAACACATTTCGCTAAAGTTCGGCTAAAATGGAGTGCTTGTTGTTGTTCCTGGTTTGTTTCTCTGCTTTTCTCCCGCTGACCACCTGCGAGGATCAGCGAATCCCGACGGGTAAGTCCGGAGGAAACGTCCCGCTCACACCGCGCCTGCAGCCGCTTTTATCGCTCGTTAAGCGGCCGTCTCATCGTTACGGAGCCGCTTCACACTTGGCTGAGAGCGACTTCTCCTGGCTGAATAAAGTAAAACCAGATTCTTTCCTGTAAGAAAACATTCCAGCAGTTTCGTGTGTGACTAATTCAAACATTACCCGCTGCCTTTAAATGTTAGCTTAAAATCGCTCCACCAGTTATGGAAAACTGAGATTTTTTATCGCTTTTTCTGAGCTATTATTTACGCCGAATTACCACCAACAGTCAGAGACTCGCGTCGACCATCTTATCTCTGAGCTCGCGTGTGGTTTCTCTAAATCAAACAGAGTTTGTGATGAGTTTGAACAGTTGGCCAGCTTCCGTAGAACCAGGAATTAGACGGGCCCCGCATGTCGCTGACGTGGACGGGATTCCGCCCGCAGCTGCTGGAAACTAACCTGCACGTTTACGTTTCTCTTCCCGGATAAAAGAAAATATGTGAGCACGAGGAGAAAATAAGGCAAGAAAACTGAGAACATGCGATTTTGAGTAAATACAACAAATGAAAGGACTTTTTTTAATCAACTTTAAAGTGTGTTTAATGATTATGCTAAATGCTTTCATTCAATAATAGGATGCTTTGTAAAAAGAACACCAGCTTTTCATCTGTAAATGTTAGTTAAACCTTTATTAAGTGTTATTAATACTGTAGAGTTTACAAAAATCAACCTTTTATATCAAATAGACCTACATGCTGTCTGCCTTGTGCAGTAGTGGTGTCTGGAGAAAGGACTGGTCTTTATTTCTGCACCAGTTTGACAGAAATATACATAAATGCCACTTTTTCATCAGCGAATAAGTTATAACTTTAATAACACTAAGTGAACAAACTATTTTGACTTGTTTACATTTAAAAATGGATCATCAGCTAATAGAAGAGTCATTTGGCTTGATTTAGCAAACAGAAAAGTCAAGAGGCTCAACTGCAAGTTATTTCTTTGTACGTATTTAGCTTCTAAGTAACTTATTGTTTTTTTTCACATTGCTCTTTGATTAAACACTACCAGGAAAACTGAAATCACCAAGCTGGTTTACAATGGTTGCCATGGTTACGCATCATAACAAATGCTCAAAAAGTGAAAAAAGCTAAAAAATAGCAGTAAAAATCCTCCAAGCTTCACAGCACCAGAAACAGAAAAGTAAAATGTCCAAAAAAATACAGATTTTCTTGAGAAACTAGAAGAAAAAATGTCCAAGAAAAGGCAAAACGTCCGTATAGTCAACAGAGCTACTCCAACATGCAGCCACCCAGAGCAGCGCAGCTCAGATTATCTGAAGTGTTTCCTGTGCTTTACTGGGAGACTTTAACATCCCTCAAAGTAAACTGGTTTTATCATTTATATAAAATACACCTGCTGGAAAAAACAATAAACAACAACCCCTTAAGCAGGCCAGATTACAGATAAACAGTCAAGATAGACCTCATTTGAATCTGAAATATAAACGTACATTTCTATAATTAATAATAATCTCATCTTCATTTTTAAAATATTCCCTAAAATTTAAATCTGACTGAAAAAAATGAATCAAAGGTGTAAAAGTTCCTCATAAAAGTGCTTCGTTACTAAAACGGTTGAGCAGTTTCTCTGTACCTTTTGTACAAATGGTTGTTTCTGTGACGTTCTGCACCTTTTCCCTGGATGATAAAAGTACACGGGAAACACAAATCGGTCGTACTTCTGCCTGGTTGAAGTCCGCTACACCTGCACGTTCGGATTCATCTCTTCTGCTGATGCTTTATGTTTCAGAGAAACTTCTGGTGGTCACCGTAGCAACCAAAGAGACTGGAGGCTTCAGTCGGTTTTTGAGGTCGGCTAAATATTTCAACTACACGGTGAAGGTAGGAACCCAAACAGGAAGAAGCCAGCCCTCCCGAGGTCCAGAAGTAAAGCCTCATCTCCTGCTCTGGTGTCTCCAGGTCCTGGGCCGAGGCGAGACATGGACGGGGGGCGACTACATGTCCGCCCCAGGGGGAGGGCAGAAAGTTCGGCTCCTGAAAGCGGCTCTGGAGAAGATGACGTCTGAGGATCAGATCGTCCTGTTTGTCGACAGGTATGTCCTAACTGTCACCTCCACCTGTCTGATCATCGGTCCCTCTCAGGCGGCGCTGCTTCCGGTTTCCTCCTCTCGTCATTATTTCTTTCATCTTCTTCGACTACTCCTGACAAACATTGTCATCCTACCTTTAAACAGACCATAATACTCTAGGTTGATTCAATTAGTCAGTTTTTACCATTTTCCGAAACTCTCGGCAGCAGCCGTGGGTGATGACATCATCCCCGAGAGCGTCACATCTTTTATAAAGAGATTCCAACAGATTTTTTACTTCATAACTTTTATATGAAACACAGATATTGTTGTTTTTTTCACGTGATTTGACTCGTTTTTTTCTCACGGGTTTATGCTTTTAAAGATATAATCTGAGAAGCACCGATTCTGGTTTCATTGGCCGATACCAGTTTTCTATTTCAACTATAACGGTTAATGACACAATACATCTTTAAACTTTCCCATTCATTTGAACGTGATGATTTTAGAGGTTCAAATGCAGAAATCAGAGATGGTGAGCTCACTGACCTGGACTACCACACACACACACACACACACACACGCACACACATGCACACACACACACATGCACACACATGCACGCGCACGCACACACACACACACACACACACACACACACGTGTGAGTGTCGGCCCCCGTTTAAAGGGATCATGCTGAAAACTTTTTGTTGCATCATCTTAACTTTTCGCATTTTTTAAATATTCCTTAATTTAAATAAATTTCGGCTTCCTCGGCAGCTGTTGGTGAACTGGTTTTCAGCACTCGGCATTCACAGAAATGTGCTTTTGTTTAGATTAAACTTATAAACAGTTTTTAGTCGTTTCCTGTTCAGGACATAAACATCTTCGAAGGAATTTGTGTTTTTCTCCCGCTCCACTGTCTCATTTTATTCAAACGTCTGCTGCAGACGTACGACAGCCTTTCTTAAGCGTTTTGTGTATTTTTAACTCGTTACACCAGTAAAGAAAATCCTCGTATGAAAGCCACAGATGTGGGTGTTGAGGTGAAATGTGCCCACGTTCTGAAAACAACCAAATAAACAGAACCACAGGCAGCTTAGCTCTTCAAATTAAGAGTGTTTTGGAGCCTGAGGCTCTTCGTTTGTTCGGAGCTACCAGAAGCTGTAAACGTTTCCCTTTTTGATCTTTTTTCTTCACACAGCTTCGATGTGGTGTTCGCCTCCAGCCCTAAAGAGCTGCTCAGGAAGTTTCAGCAGGCCAAGCACAAAGTGGTTTTCTCCTCCGAGAGCCTGATCTGGCCCGACAGACACCTGGAGGACAAACACCCCCACGTCCGGGAGGGGAACAGGTTCCTGGGCTCAGGAGGTGGGTCAGACGGCACTGAGCTTCCTTTAACTCGGACAAACACGGGGTGGATTCTCCCAGATGTTCTCCTAGTGAACACAACCCCACAAACTCCTGATCCAGTCCTTGTGTTTTCCCTCCCAGCAGCCAGACTTCCGTAATCTTCTAGTCTCAGAAGGTGCTTCAGAGCTTTTCTTTGGACTTTAACCCTCCCACTGTCCTAATGGGTGTGACCCCACGAGGAAAGGGTCGACGTGGCAGGGGTGAGGAGTGAGCACCACCTCACCCCTGCCACGTGGACCTCAAGGGATAAACCATCAACTCTGCTCAACGGTCAACTGTCCTCGCGGGGTCACACCCATTAGGACATTAACAAGCTCAAGTTAGAGAAACAGATCGATTCTGACCGGATTGATGGGCTAACGGCTAGTCTGAGTGGGACCATTTACAGATTATTTAGACTGTTTAAAAAACAAATTTTAGTCTGAAAGAATGAACATTTCCTGCAAACAGAACTTTATAAACATTTTACTTGTCATGCGTGAACTTCTGCTTATTTGCAGCAGAAATTAGCTTCAGCGTTCGCTACTGTGGCATATCTGGCTGGAATAACAATGAACTGTAACTTTTATGGCAACATAAAGTGTGTAAAATATGGTCGACATTTGTAGATATGAAACGTTTGCGATTTAATTTCATTTAGGTCGCTTTTATAACAGGGTCTGTTGTGACTAGCAGTTAGGTCGTCTGTTTCAGCCATCGACATAAATATACTGGACATTTCCTTTCCATAGTCTCTAATAACACATTTTTGAAGATAAATGGGAGGTGGCCACCACCGCCATCTTGACCGTGTCACAGGTTCCGTCAAGCCCAGACAATTCCACAAAAGGGAAGAGAGGTGGAGCTGAGGGTGGGGCTGTAAGGCTGGGATCAACTGACGACACCCGGTCGAACTAGCTACAAGCTAACCTGAAGCTAACCCAAAGCTAATGTGGAGGTGGGAGCTAAGCTAACGGAGGTAGCAACCTAGCTACAACCGGAGTTAACTGTGCACAACACCAGAGCTTCTGAGTCAGAGATACGCCGGGCTGACCGCTGAGTAGAACCGGGTGGAACACAGACGTCACCCCGAGAGCTCCACAAGCCGATAGTGGGAACCCAGCTCCACCAACATGTTATATTTCAACCCATTTTCTAAAGTGCAGCATTATGTTAAATGCACTGGGTTTTACCCTATTACATTTAAATGTCATGGTTAAACAGTACATGTTAAAATCTAAGCTCAGCTCGGCAGTGACCTAAAATACATAAATATAATTTTACTTACCGAAAAACATGAAGTGGAGACTCCTTGGACGCTCTATTAGTGCAATTAATGCCACAGCAAGTCATTTTGTCCAACAATTGCACAATAATATCCAAACAAGAATACACACACACAGAGACTCAAAATCCCGGAACAGTTTCCAGGCCAGACCGAGGCTCTACTGAGGCCTTTCCCCGGAGCTAGCTCTGTGGTCACGTGGGTCTGATGCTCATTAATTATACAGAATTTTAGGCTTTTAATACACTTAAACAGAAGAGTGAGAAAAACATTCACCCCCCTCAGAGTTGTCATGAGTGTAAACTAGATCATTTAAACCAAAAACATGTTCTGGTACCAGGCTGTAAACATGTTTATTTCTGCTGTGAAATTGGTATTTTTAACATGGGAGTCAATGAGGATTTGCTCGCTTCTGACACCAGCCCCTAGTGGATGATGGTGGAACTGCAATTTTTGGGACTTCTGGGTTGAGACCAATTTTAGAGCTCCGTTGTGGGGGCCTGCTTTCAGCCCAGCTAATCTGTGTTTCTCCAGACTGAGGTTTTTCTCTTAGCTAAGATGTTTCCAAAGAGATCAACGCCGTTAGCCCTAAGAAGGCGAACCCTTGCTCACGCTGCTGACGTGGATGTTTACGGCTCTCGGCAGCAGCTCATAAAACCCAAATCCAACGGCGCTCGTTAGCTACGGCTACAAGAACAAAGGACTCTCCTGTTTGCATCATTTTAACCAACCGGTGGAGTTGAATTCTGATGGTTCTCGTCTGTCGGCAGGTTTTATCGGCTACCTTCCCAACGTCAAACAGATGATTTCTAACTGGACGGGAGGAGACGATGACAGTGATCAGCTCTTCTTCACAAAGATTTACATCGATCCAGCTAAAAGGGTAAACGCTCAGTAACGAGGCTAATTAGCGCCTATAAACACAGAGCTACCGCTAACGAGACTCAGTACTTCCTGATCACGTGTTTCACTTTAAAAGCCTTCCAGTAACTCCACAAGGCTTTTAATTTGAAACAGGTGAAGATTTTGGATGGACATACAGAGTTGGAGCTGCTGAATGTAAACGGTGAGTTCATCTGAGAATTCTGTGATCTGTTTTCAGAAAGCCTTAAACATCACCCTGGACAGTAAATGCAGGCTGTTCCAGAACCTCCACGGAGCCCTCGGTGAGTGCTATGGACCTGGTTTCTGGTTGGGTATTGGTCCTCGGACCTTCGGGACCAGCTGGTTTCAGGTTCATCCTGATAAACGAGCACGGCTTCTGTTTGTTTCAAGTGCTGCTCCCGTGGTGGAATCCTCCCTTCTGATTGGCTGTTTCCAGCTCCTGAAAACTGGTTTCAGGAAGTGTTTTTACACAATATTACAAAGATGAGTTCTTCGTTAGAGTAAATCAAATATTGGCTCAACATTTGACTAAAATGAGCTTTTAATTAGGGCAAAATGTGGTTAAAGGTTGAATATGGAACACGCACACTCTGGTGTTCAGAGGTGGTACTGCAA